TGCTTCCCCAAGCTAGACAACTTTGACAATCCTCTCTCTCTCTCTCTCTCTCACACACACACACACACATACATACACACACATACACTTCAGACTCTTGCTCTGAATCACCCTGATCAATAATTTAGAAGGATGTCAGAGGACAGAGAAATATGTGTTACAGGAAAACTCCGTGCTGCTGGAGCAAGGCAGGAGCTTGGAATGCAGCCCCTCACCCTGGGCTCTGGCCTCAGAAAGGGTTTGGGGTGGGGAAGAGCACTAGAGCTCTCAGACAGGCAGAGAGAATGGGGATGGGGGCCAACTCCAGGAAAAAGTGACTCTGCAAAAGCCAAGAAGAGAAGGTAAAACTTCTAATGAGACAGATGAACCAAACCACTTTTCTATCTCTTAAGACACTTTGTATCTTCCTAGCCAAGGAAGGGAAGGAAAGATGTTTCCTTGGGCCCCAGGAAGAGTATTTCCAGTCTGTCAAAGTCACTGGAAAAGATGAGAGAGGGAGAGAAGAGAAATATTGAGTTAGAAAGACGGTAATAAATTAAAAAAGAACCAAGACAGAAGAAAAAAACAGAAAAATAAAGAGAAAGAAGGAATAGAGAAGTCAGGAGGGGGAGGGGAGAGAGAAAGGGAAAGACATTAAGGCTGGGAGAGGGACACAGAAAAGGAGAAATTGAAACCAAGCAAGAGCTAGAGTCAGGGAGGAGAAATAAAAGATTACAGAAGATCACACGCCTACATTCGAAAAGAAAAGGAGGGGGAGAGGAAGAAAGCAACAGATAAACAAAAGGTGAGATGCCCTGCCCTGTCTGGTGCAGCCTGGAGGCTCCTGCCTATCCTGAACAGAGGAAAGGTGGGCAAGTTGATTGCTTTCTCAAAGGGACCAAACACCAGACTCCTGGGAGGAAGGAAGTTCTCAGAGCAAACTTTGGGGAGCAGGAGGTGGGAGAGATGGTGATTCCAAGACTCCGGGATGAAAAGGAAGCCCTCCAGCTCTGCCCAGAAACCTGAACCCCACCCCCAAGCTGGGTTCAGATCTGCACGTGGGCGAGCTGGAGCCCAGGGTAGCACAGGGGTGCTAATGCATGCGGGTGGAGGGCGGCTGTGTGGGGGTGCCAGCAACCGCAGACAGGAGGAACCATGAACTGTAAACCAGGTACTCTGGAGGGAGTTTCTTTCGCTGAAATCCGTGATAAGAAAATCACATCCCCATTTGGGAGTGGAGCCTGAAAGAGGATGGAAGTCCCACAGTCGGGCGGTTTCAAAGCTTGACAGCATTAGAGGATCAAATGCAGCAAGTTCCTCGCTGATAAAAGTTTACACATGGAGCCCCCCCACCCTCTGCCACCTCCTAGTAGGAAACTTCTTAATTAGGCCTCAGACCCCAAGAGAAACATGGATACCCTTCTATTTACAGAAAGGCCCAACAGATGACACCTTGGATTGAAAAGAGCTCATGGCAAACCGGGGTGAAAGTTGAAAAGGGAATACGCAGGAGTGTCATAGTTCCTGGCCAGACCTCACACATGCTGCAGAGAGTACTTACAGCAAACTCGCCAAAGTAAACGACCCCGCCTACCCACCCTCCAGGCCCCTTCCTCTCTCTCTCTCTCTCTCTCTCTCTCTCTCTCTCTCTCTCTCTCTCTCTCTCTCTGTGTGTGTGTGTGTGTGTGCAAACTGCAGATAAACACTATCACGAAAGGATTCCATTATAGTTTGAAGCAGGAGATACCATGGGCAAAATGTGGGATACAGCACAGGAATCCTGGCATCTCTCCGGTGAGGCTGGCACCCCTGACCCAAGCGCAGTTGGTTTGGTTTTGTTCCCCGCCCCCTCTGCAGAGGCACCTTGAGTCCCCCATCCTGAATCCTCGCCTATGTCCACACACTACTCTTTTTCATTTAAACGCTGCAGGCATTACAGATTATAGAGGGAGTTTTAAAAACTTTTTTATTGTTCTAAAATTCCAGGCCCACAATTAAGTAAAAACTTTTTCTTTTTTTCAAAAGGTGTAAGAGTATTTCGGGGATACCAGGAAGATTCGTAGGTGGGTCTTTTTTAGACCTGGATTTTGGGTCTCTCCCTTCTCCAGCTCTTACGACGCCCTCTTGTTGGACTCTGTTGAGGGAACGGCCCCTTCAACGTTTCCCAAGTGCCTTTCATGAACCATGAGGACGAGGGAGAGAAGATCCAGGTTCTAAAGCAGAAAGGGAAGAAAGAAAAAGACCGCGCAGAGCCAGCGGCTGGATTCTGAAGCCAGGACTGGGGACGCGCGGGCCTGTGGGTCCTCCCGGAGGCCAGGCCTGGCACAGGGCTTCGCAACGCGCTAGCCAATGTTTAACCCGAAAGCAGTGGCCACCAGGCCGCTTTTGTTTGTTCGTAAATTAATCACCCAGCGCACGGCCGGCGCCAGAGTGGGTTTATCACCCACCAGGAGGGGGGCGCGGCGGGCACGCAGAGACAAAGAGGAGTTCGCACCTTCGCGCTTTTGATCCCAGAATTACAGCGGCCTCCCAGCCTAATACGAGCCCCCTGGGGCCGAGTCTGGGAGGTCAGTCATAATTGGCGGAAGTTTGCAGACCATTAGCAAGAAGTCGACATTTTCGATTAAGAGAACCCCTCAAACTTTCCTCTCACCCCGCCTCGCCTGCACGCTGGGGTGGGGGCGGGGACCAGAAGCGGCTAACTGGGGTGACCCCAGGGTTAAATTAGAGCTACAGACCAAACAGGCAACTGGGGAGCGGGTGTAGGGGAGGGGACGCGGGGTGAGGGTCAGAAATCGCACTAGGTCCACAGGGGAGCCGAAAGAAGGTCGAGATGTTTATAAGTAAAATCCGCAACTCCTCTGCTCTTTTCAAAGCAATCGGGAGGCCATAATGCTGAGGACCTGGTATCAACCTCTCCCTGCCAGGCCTGTGGGCCTTCGGGGCACTGGGAGGGTGAGGAGGGGGTCAGTCACAACGAGGTTGCAGCATTATTTTCCTTCTACTGGACGCGACAGGGCAGAGATTGGCCGGCGAGTGCAGACAAAACCAGATCTCGGGGATTTGGGGCCGCTCTTGATAGCGCTGCAAGCGGCCCCAGGCCCGGCCGGGAGCACTATGGGGGAGGGGGTGTTTTTTGCCTCCAGAGAATCCTGAAACCCTGAAGTGACCTCGGCGGTGGGTGTAAGGAGGGGGAAGGCCTGGCCTCTTGCACCCTTCAGGATCCTGCGCTGGAGACATGGAAGGGGGTGTTAAGAGCCACCTCTCTGGGCCGCACTTCTTTCTTTTCTCTCTCTGCTTAACCGTGGGCAGAGACACAGAACAGACCAAAAGGAGGAGAAAGGGGAGAGATGGTGAGCCAGACCAAGTTCGCAGAACGACTCTATTCTCTCTGGTGACTTCAGGGAATTCTCAGCGCTGGCGCCAAGCGCTCTTAACCATGTGCGTCAAAAATGCGCGGCTGTAAAAGCTTGTCTCCTCAAAAGTCCCTCCCCTATCTCGAGGCGGTTGGCCCACATGGCACTGCCTTTTTATCCTCCAGTAGCTGCCACTTCGGACCCGGCAGCTGGGGTGTTGGGGGGGGGGTGGACAAAGCAAAATGTAGCAGGGGATTCTGCAGGTCTACGCAGACACGCGTCCGAAGGCATGGGTTTCTTAACCCCTAGGCCCGGAAACCAACCGTTTCTCCATTCCCTTTCCAACCAAGTAGGCTCTTATCTTAGCAAGAGTCAAAGAGCATCGTCAAGATTTCCATTCACCTAATCAGGGACCGCCTCATCACCCCCACCCCACCCCACCCCAAAAGCGAGAACTGTGGGTTTGGGAGAATCTTCTGACCCGGACAGGAGTCACCGTGCGGTAACCATTTCGGGGACCGGCCTGATCAGTAAGGTCTGGTTGCCTCCCTCCCAGCTGCCCTCAATGAGGCCCCCACCCTACCTGAACTGGAACAAATCCCCTCGCCTCTGGGGTGGGGGCGTTTCACGGTTTGTTTTACAAATTCGCCCCCGACTTCTGGTGAGATAAGTCCTGGGGTGGAGAAAGAACTGAGACACCAAGAGATAAGTGCGATGCCTGGAGATGATAGGAGGCTGGCGCACCTCCCCCAACCAGCTCGTCCTCCCCTTACCAGCAGTTCCACAAGGAGCTGGTCCCCAGGTGAAGGCAGCGTCTTGAAAGGGACAGGCCCAGACCCTAGTCCATCACTGCACTCACTTTGACCGGAGTCTCCCTTGTCTACACCTTCCCGCCCCCCAACACACACATCCAGGCAGAATACCAGGAGCCCTCATCTAAATGGAAGCCGAGATCTGAAAGGGCTGGTAAATGCGTTTTTATAAAATCCAGAGACCATCTCCCAGAGTGAGTGCAGACAGGGCCGGGGGCTCAAGCTGTGTACATGTTTGAGTGTACGTGTTTTTCGGCGCGTATTAGAGTACAGATGCACTGAGGGTACTTGGGTGCCCCGCATACGGCTGCGGGGTGGGGCGCTGTGGAAAGGGGCCCACGCACTCATGTGCTGAGATCCTGCCGCAACCGTGCGCTCGCTTTCCCGCGAGCCCAGATGTAGGGGAGACCCGCACCAAGATGCACGAGCTTGGGGACCCTTACTTAGCGGCGGCCAGGCGGAGCTCCGCTCCACGTGGGGCTGAAGAGCGCCGCAGCCTGGAGTCTAGGCGCGCACCTCTCGGCTGCCGCCGGTTTAGTCGCGCCCAGAGGCCGAACGCCAACTCGCAGGAGGTCCAGCCGCCCGCTTCGTTCGCCGGGAGTCGGAGGAAGAGGGAGAGCCGGAGAGAGAACGAGCCGCGGCTGGTGGAGAGGCGAGGCGAGGCGAGGCGAGGCGAGCGCGCGAGAGGCGAGCGCCCCTGCCCGGCGCCCGGGCGCGCTCTCCGCCCGGCTCGGCAGGCTAGCCGGCTTGCTCCCTCCCTGTCTCCCTCCCCTTCCTCCCAGGCCCTGCCTCCTCCCTCGATCCCGGGCTAGATGACTGAGGCATTTCAGACGTGGGCTGAGCGAGAGCAAGCGAGCTCTGGGTCTGCAGCGATCTCTCGATAAGCCACCTAGAGGCGACTCTGTGCGCGCACTCCCCAGTGGATCCCGCCCTCCCTCTGATCATGTTGACATATTCACAGGACAGGCAGTAGTACCGATGCGGCGCTGCGACGTTACAGTTTCCGACACCTTCTTTTTATAACTCGGCTCTATCCCCCAGCACTCGACCTGTGAAAACCACGCCTATGCAGCAACACAATTGGTCCGAAAGCGTCAAAGAGCCAATCAAGAGGCCTCCGGCTCCCCGCAGCCCACAGCGCAGCCCGACCTTCTAGAGCCGCCGAGCAGACGCCCGGGGAATTCTAGAGGCGGAGGAGGGTGGCGAGCAGCTCTCACTAGCTTTCCCTCGCTCCCTCCCTCACTCCCTCCCTCTCCTCGCCTACTCTGTCTCTGTCTCTCTGTCTCTCTCCTCTCTCTCTCTCTCCCTCCTTTCTATTTTTCCCCTCCGAATCCTCCCTGCCCTGCGCGCCTGGACACAGATTTAGGAAGCGATTTCGCTCACGTTTTAAAGGACAAGGAAGAGAAGCAGGAGAGACCGGCCAGATTCGGATTGAAACCGAGACACCCTCCGGAGCTCGGAGCAGAGGAAGGAGGAGGAGGGCGAACGGAAGCCAGTTTGCAGTTCAAGTTTTGATAGCGCTGGTAGAAGAGGCTTAAATCAGTGTGTGTGTGTGTCTCTCTCTCTCTGTGTGTGTGGGTTTTTTTCTTCTTCTGTTTTTAAGAAGAGACTTTTTCCACACTCTTGCTCCCTGCTAAAGCCGAGTCTAGCTGCAGCAAGAGAGAGGAAGATAGGAAGCGGGGGACGAAGAGGAAAAGGGGGAGAGTCTTCTAGGAGAACCGTTCGCATTTGCAACAAAGGACCTGGGGGCTGGGGAGCGATTCCGGGGACGCAGGGCTGGGGTGTCTATTTCGAGCTCAGCGGCCGGGCTCAGGCGCGAGTCGAGACCCTGCTCGCTCGTCTGGCTTCGGAAACCGACTTCCAGGAGCGGCTTTTTAAAATCACAAGGCACAAGGACTGTCACCCAGCGACTATGTCTTCTGATTTGTCGCCTTGTCCTCTTTAAAAGCGACATTCCCCTCCCCAAAAGACAATTCCCCCTCTCTTTGAAGTGATTTACTTGTGATTTCTTCCTCCTGTTTTTTCTTTTTTTTTTTTTTTTGCGTTTTTTCAAAAAAAGTATGTGCTGCTGTTGAACAAAAAAAAAAAAAAAAAAAAAAAAAGCAAAAAGCAACAAAACAAAAAAAGCAAGGCAGCCGCTGCGGACTTGTCCCCGCCTGAAGTGGATGAGCCTCTCCATGAGAGATCCGGTCATTCCTGGGACAAGCATGGCCTACCATCCGTTCCTACCTCACCGGGCGCCGGACTTCGCCATGAGCGCGGTGCTGGGTCACCAGCCGCCCTTCTTCCCCGCGCTGACGCTGCCTCCCAACGGCGCCGCGGCGCTCTCGCTGCCGGGCGCTCTGGCCAAGCCGATCATGGATCAATTGGTGGGGGCGGCAGAGACCGGCATCCCTTTCTCGTCCCTGGGGCCCCAGGCGCATCTGAGGCCTCTGAAGACCATTGAGCCCGAAGAAGAGGTGGAGGATGATCCGAAGGTGCACCTGGAGGCTAAAGAACTTTGGGATCAGTTCCACAAGAGGGGCACCGAGATGGTCATTACCAAGTCGGGAAGGTAAGCAAGCGGTGGCCATCCTCTCCCCCCAAGCTCTCCGAGGTTTCCCCCCTCCCTTTATCTCTCTCCTCTCCCAAAAGTCTCTTTTGCCAGTTGTTACGGCTGGGGCGAAAAATTAGTTCTCCTAAAAATGTGTGAAGAGATTCCACAGCCCTGCTCCAGGTGACGGCAGTTTTCAGTGTACCTGGGCGTGTGCATGGGTAGAAAACAGATCTCGGGTCTCTACAGAACAGACAAAATATTCCAGGGGAGTACAGACATCCCTTTAGGAAGCAAGAAAACCACCCCATTGCAGGAAATTTACTCTCCAAGGCTTTTTTTGTAGCCCCCTATTTCATTACTGATGTGTTTTGATCAGTTTTATTTTGTTCTCAGGAGAAAAACTTAAAGCTCCTTTCTTTTGAATGGTAGGGGGAGGCTGACACTGTTCCCCTGGTCTTCTGCCCCTCCACCTAGCCTCCGAGTCTGAAGGGGGCCTGAGCCTGCCAGGGTCAGAAAGAAATGGAAGGGCAAATGGGTTTGTTTGCCCACACCACTTCACATGTCTGTAACCCGAGGAAGAGTTCAGCAGGCAATTTTGGATAATTAAGATTATGTTTGTAGACCTAAGGAGTCCACGAGGACATGCACATTGCTTTTGTATATGTGAATTATTATAAGCCATATTTTACATAATGTTTAGTGGTCCTCGCCTGAACGAAACATGTTTGGAAAAGAGGACCCCAGGATTATCATTTACAATCACTCAGTTTTTTTGTTTTTGTTTTTTTTTTTTTAACTACAGTGTTGGACTCTATCAGGATAAAAATAAAGTCCCCGTCTTGAGGTCTGTAGCTTTCTGTCTCCTTCCAAGCTACACGAGGCCAAAGTTTGGCATACACTCTTCCTTAAACCCACAAGACATTTAGTCAGTGTTCCCAGCAGAGTGCTTCCTTTTAAGTCAGAAGTACAGAATGCCAACACTTGTGTGAAATTAAACAGCAATTTGGTGGCACAACATTGGAGTTTGGGGCTGGCAGCAGGCATGGGGGAGTTCACCCTAATCTGCAAAATTTATTCAGAGAACTTAACTGAAGCCCGTTTGCACTTTCGCCAGCAGCGGGATTGCTCTTGCACCGAAGGGACCCGGGCAACTTGACCTTTATTTCCTTGATAAGTTTAGCATTTTCTCATCAATGGGTGGTGGAAAATTCTAGCCATGAGTAGCACTTCACTGGAATCCTACCCTGAGCTGTTTAGAACTAAATGCACAAAGGAAAAAAAAAAAAAAGATAGGGGCAAGAATTTCTCTGTACAGAGGGCAATCTGTACAGGCACATAGAAAAAAAAATAGACATTGTTAGTCTCTGTAGAGAAATGCAGTGCCATCCTTCATTTGTTTTGAATCTTGAGATATTTAAATATAGAAAATCGGGGCATGTTTCATACTTCCATGTGGAAGAGAATAATTTTGTACCATGTTGCTCTAGTCTGAAAAATATAAGCTCCTCTGTCACAATAAAAAATTTTAAAAGAATAAACAGGAAGCCAACCTCAAGATTCTGAGCAATTTATCTTTTTCTTTTTCTTTCTTTTTTTTTCTTTCTCTTTCATTCTTTTCCTATTATAGGCGAATGTTTCCTCCATTTAAAGTGAGATGTTCTGGGCTAGATAAAAAGGCCAAATATATTTTACTGATGGACATTATAGCTGCTGATGACTGTCGATATAAATTTCACAATTCTCGGTGGATGGTGGCGGGTAAGGCCGACCCTGAGATGCCAAAGAGAATGTACATTCACCCGGACAGCCCGGCTACCGGGGAACAGTGGATGTCTAAAGTTGTCACTTTCCACAAACTGAAACTCACCAACAACATTTCGGACAAACACGGATTTGTAAGTTCCTTTGCTGCTTCCTGCAGATGTGCTTTCTACCCCTCTCTCTCGGAGGTAGTTCTTTCGAGTTCCTTCTAAACTCCTGCGTTTCGGGTCAGACTTCTCCCTTGATCGCTGTAGGTAAAGCCTGGCCAATTTCTGCGGTTTCCGCAGAGCTGGGGGAGGATCCGGGGTGCTTCTCTCCAAATAATGAAGGCCTTGGTCTTCTAAAGAAAATGGGAGCAAGAAAGCACCCTTGTTCATGTTCAGTAAGCTACCCCAGGTCCTTGGTAGATTCTCCCCCCCTGACAGGGAAGCTTCAACCCCACAACTGACAGTGGAAATCCATTGCATTCAGGATTTGTTCTGTTTGCAAACATATGCAACTTCTTCTCTTTGGAATCCAGCCGTCCTCTTTCTTGGGAGAGTTTAAGTCTCCCAGGTTTGATTGTGTTGGTTCAAGGGTGTGAATATGGTTGTGATAATGTGGTTTTCTTTTTCTAAAAGAATTGGGCCAAGGTGACAGTCAGGTTTACAAGAAATGAGGGTGAGGTCTTTCGGTGTGAAAATAGTGCCTAGATGTGGATTCAGTGAGAACCGTGCTTAGAAACTTTCAGAAGACTGGGATTGCTTGTAAAAGTCAGGCGAGGCACCTTTTGCCCCTTCCTCCACCCCTCCCCAACATTTCAATAAAATAAACAAAGTGATAAGCGAGGAATAAGGAGAAAGATTAGGCCCAGGAAGACGTGAAGGGCGCGGAAATATCTTCCTCGGGCAGGAATTGCATTTAAAGCCCTTGATTTGATTAGGGCATAAATATTCCTCTCTGAGTTCAGCCTTTCAGGGCTTTAAGTGGACCGGGCTCGTCAATTAGTGGGCGCTTAAAGTACTGAATCATTTTCTAAATTAAAATGCATGTTTTTCTCTATCTTTTAAGACTTTGGCCTTCCCAAGTGATCACGCAACGTGGCAGGGGAATTATAGTTTTGGGACGCAGGTAGGCTAGGGTTCAAGGCATAAATGAACCTTAGATGGCGAGGGTGGGGGGGGGGGTTCCGTATTGGAAATTGAGGAGCAATTTGGATTCTCCAGAAGATTACATCTGTGGAGTGAACTGTACCCAAGAGGTACTCCCATCCAAGTGTGGGACCCTGCTGGTGGGGGAAGATGTCAGCCTAACAGGGGTCCTAAGATTGCATTTGTCCTGCTAATCCTTAAAAAAAAAAAAAAATTGTGTATCTCCTCTTCCCTGCCACTGCAGACTATATTGAACTCCATGCACAAATACCAGCCCCGGTTCCACATTGTAAGAGCCAATGACATCTTGAAACTCCCTTATAGTACATTTCGGACGTACTTGTTCCCCGAAACTGAATTCATCGCTGTGACCGCATACCAGAATGATAAGGTAACTGAGAGGGCTTTTCTTATTTTAATGGTGATATTTCCCCTCCCCTTTAAAAAGTTGCTTTGGTTCCGGGTGGGAACATTTAAAGGGAATTGGGATGTGAGCCTCGGATTTTCTTCTGTGATTTGACCTTCGGCTGGAGCCAGTATGGGAAGAGGCTCTGGCACCTTCCAGGAGGAAGAAACAAAACATTCCTCCACCAACTAGGGACCCAAAGCTGAGCAAGAAAAGCCTCCTTGATTTTTGGCAGCAAGAAGCTCCTGTACCCAAGGTCCCTGATACACTCTAAACCCTGAGCCCTGGGGCTGTTCTGTGTTGGTTTCAATGTTCGTCCTCTTCCCCTTTTAGGAAGAAGGATCCAGAAATAAGGTTGCGGGGAAAGGAAGCTAAAAATTTCAGGCAAAAAGTCTTTTGGATTCAGGGAGGAGAATTCTAGTGGAGACCAGCTTTTCTCCTCTAGCCAGAAATCCCCGAGAAGCTGGTCTGGTTTTTATTACCTTTTATGCTGCTGTGTTTTTTTATGGTGTGTGTGCGCGCGTGTTTGGAAGAACCTATCCTGATCACAGGGTCATGTGAATGGAGTTGTCTGTGGCTTTCTACTTGAGGTAGCCAAAGTCACCACTTTATTTGAAAGTTTTTTCTCCCTTGGACCTGATGCTGGGTGCTGGAAGGGCCCTCAACAGTACACCTGAAATGCACTGTTCTGAGGCCTGAAGGTCAAGGGCACAGAGGTCCAGAGAAAGCAGTGCTTGACCAGTGCCAACCGTGGCTACTTGAAGGCAGTAATGGGGGTGACAGCAAGGGCTGGGGACTCCTGCTCTTCAGCTGCTGAGCCCTCTGCTCACCTGTCAGCATCCATCCTGCATTTAGAACTCACTCTGACTGTCATGGGTCCCTGTGGAATGATCAAGGTGTTCCAGGTAGATATCCGTAGGCTGGAGACTAAGAGGACATCATCACCTTCTCCCCCTGTCAAATGCAAAACCTGAAGTCAGGCATCCTGCAGGGACATTTCAAGACCCAGAAGCCAACCCAGGGCTCTTTTCCCACCTCTGGTAACTTGGAATATGTGACACGCCCCCACCCCCCAAAGGGAAGGGATTTGAAAGATGACAAACTATGGCATTGTCCTCAGCGTGCAAAGTGCAGGTCCCCTCTAGACCCAGAATCCTATGAAACTAAGTTGTTCATGTAATAATAAAATAGAGCATTTTTGATCAGACAAAGAGGCCACTGGGTCTCCTCCACCTCATTGTGGTGGCAAAGAATATAAAGGAAAACAAATGTTTCCAGAGATCTTTCAGTCTTTTTAGAATCCGTGATTGTCAATAGTGTAATTCCTCAAACCACCCCCCACCCTAGGAGGAAAAAAAAAATCAAACTTTAGCCCAAGGGTAGCGAAATCCCATAAATCATTTTATTAGATTCATGGAAAAGGTTGGCTCGCGCGTGTGTGTATGTGTGTGTGTGTGTGAGAGAGAGAGAGAGAGAGAGAGAAAGATTGCATATAAAGGCAGAGAGGAGTGTGCCTTAACATATATTATGATTAATCGCATTGTATAGAAATTCAAAATGAAGACACAATTTTAAGATCAACAGGTTGTCCCTCTTGACAACTTCAAGAAACTTTGCATTGCTAACCCCAAGCTGTCAACTGCCTCCTATGGAACAGACTCCTCTTTAACCTGGCACATCCACATGACCTCTATTGGCACCCAGACTTCTAGGAGGCTGTTGACCTGGGGGAAACATCTCAGAACATTCTAGAAAGTGAAGCTCATGCCTCTGTCTTGCTTGTGTCTCCTCCTCTAGATAACTCAGTTAAAAATAGACAACAACCCATTTGCGAAAGGTTTTCGGGACACTGGAAATGGCAGGAGAGAAAAAAGGTGGGTTGAGATAATTATTCATTTCTCGGATAATTTAGGGGAAAAAATTACATTTCTAGGACTAAACTTTCAAGTGTTAGAAGTGGGATTCAGGAATTTATTCTCAGAAGAGCGGGTAGAAGCTAACTGACTTCCCACTCACTACACTTTGTGAACGTACATTGCAATTTTTCTACATATGACTTGTAGCCTTTAAAGAAACAGATGAGTCTATACGATAGTTGTCTCTGGAAAAAAAAGCATTGAGGATAACAGATTACATAGGGATGCCTATTAATTGTAATTAATTTAAATTCGTCTTGGGCAGATCCCAGACAAGGACCAGGCCATTCACAAAATGCTTTGGAATTTTTGCAATCTTGCCTTCCAAATACCATCAGACAGAGCTAGGCCCCTTGAGAAATCTAGTTCCCCCCACTCTTAATAGGGACATGTATCATTTTGCATTAAGCAGACAGCTAGAGAATATATGAGAGCAGTTCTCCCTCCCCCAACCCGTTTTCAAAAATTTTTTTCTAAAATCCAGAAAAATGCCTCAAATTTCCATCCTGCCCCTGGAGAGTGCGCATTGAATATTTATTTATTTATTTATTTTTTGCTAACATCTAAATGAATTTTAACTCCAGTTAACGTGTTGGTGAACCAATTACTGTAGAGTGCACCATGAAATAACCACTTCCTCCCGACCTTAGCAACCATCCAGGAGTTGGGTAGGCTGGGGACAGACAGCATTGTGTTCTCAGGGTTGGACACCCACTTGCCTCCCTCTACAAGGCTGGCATTCAGCTGTCCCTGGCCACCTCCTGCCCTCTGTCCTCCTGGTTTTAAACAAGGTGTCCTAGTTCAAGCAAATGTCCTTTCCCAGTGAAACCCTGATCTTGAATATATCCACCTGAAGCCCGCCCCCCCCCCACCCTTTGCAATACTCTGTATCTCACTTAAAGGGTCAGAGTGGGCTGGGGCTGCATGGCTGCCCTGGGGCCATCAGATTTTAGAGAAGGAAATCTGTTGTGTGGGGGGGTGTGTGGCAGAGAGTGAGGTGTGCATATGCCACTTTGACAGGAGTGAGGGAAACAGGGGAAGTGTGTGTTTTGCTCTGTAACGCTGGGTGTGGGCTTCTGCCACAGAAAGCAGCTCACCCTGCAGTCCATGCGGGTGTTTGATGAAAGACACAAGAAGGAGACAGGAACTTCGGATGAGTCCTCTAGCGAACAGGCGGCCTTCACCTGTTTCACTCAGGCCTCCTCACCAGCAGTGTCCACTGTAGGGACATCGAACCTCAAAGGTAAGCCTGGCCACCTCGGCAGGACCTGGACTCCAGGTCATTGGGCCTGGAGATGTTGGGGGTGGGGAGGCCTGGAGCCTAGACCTGGAGACTCACCTAGTGCAAGCTGCAGACCCTTCCAGACATCTGTAAACAGGAGCCAAAGTTCAAAAAGGGGGTATCAGGTGAGTCCCCTCTCCCTGAGGTCATAGAGGGAAAGCTCAGAGTCTCTTCTCCTACTGCCTTATTTGGCTCAGGTGGGGTGGTGTGTTTGTATATTACTTCTTGGCAGGGGCCACGTTGAAAGGGTGCCTGATGCACTTTCTCTCTCTCCCTCTTGGTCTACCCTCCCAATCCCCGACCCCCAAACCTCCCACCATGACAGTCTTCAACTACTGACATACCCTTGGCCTGAATTCTACCTCAAAATGTGTTGGGTTGGCAGGAGGGAAGGCATTCTCTGCCCCTGGAACTCAGGAGGTGGCTAAGGAGACACTCAACTGGAGAACAACAATTCACCTGGGGTGGGGGGTGGAGCACTGGAGATGAGCAGCCGGTGAGGTTGGGGGTGGATGAGATGGTTCCAATCCCCAATTGGTTTCCTGTGTTTTTAAAGAGCAAGCACTATTTATTTGAAAAGACACACAGAGCCTCTCAACTGGAGGAAAACTGTTTCTAAGTGAAATCCTTAATGTCTTCAATCCATTTAAGCTTTAAACATAAAATAGGATCCCCCTCTTTTTTTTTTTTTTTTTTGTAGGACACCCACAGAGGGTGTGGAGAAAGAAAAGGAAGGAGTCTCTGATTGTCCTGGGGCAGTGGGGGGGGGGGGGAGCTGCTGATCACCCATTTTGTGGCAGGCACTGGGGCAAATGGAGCAGGCTCAATTGAGTGTGTGCTGGGGGAGGGGTGTTTGCTTCAGCCATTACCAATTCAGATGTCAGGATTCTTTCCAAACAAATCTTTCCAAAGTAATCCACAAATTTGTGGAAGGTGCTGCTCTGCATCTCACTCCCCCAACAAAGACTGGTGATAATTGGAATGTGCTTCAGCAGTGACTTTTAAAGTAACTTAGTTTTTATTTTAAAAAAAGTTAATTTGCAATCGAATGGAGAAAGCTAGTGAAGGTTCTGACGCTGTAGGAGCTCAATCCGTGCTTCTGGTGGGGGGAGAGGGGAGGGGGAAGGACAATTCATTAGAATAAGAAGGGCTACTGGTTTGGGGAATTTCTCCCAGAGGTGGGTTAAGCTCCTTCCAAACACTTTAAATTCCTTGTTAGCTTATTGAATCTAAAAGCTAAGGCGTTAGGTATCCTCCCTTCCCATTTTGCAGATGAGAAGACTGAGGTGCCAGAGGCTAAGGGGCCTGCCCGGGCTTCCACAGCCAATTGGGATTCAGATCAGGAACTGGACCCCCGCTGGTGCACTTCGAAGCTAACGCCCTTCCGCTTGGCTTTTTGTCTCCCCCACTTTCTTTCTGTGCTAGATCTGTGTCCCAGCGAGGCTGAGAGCGACGCGGAGGCCGAGAGCAAGGAAGAGCACGGCCCCGAGGCCTGCGACTCGGCCAAGATCACCACCACCACGTCGGAGGAGCCGTGTCGCGACAAGGGCAGCCCGACCATCAAGGCTCACCTCTTTGCGGCGGAGCCAGGCTGCCGTCCCCGGGACAGCGGGCGGCTGGACAAGGCGTCGCCGGACTCGCGCCACAGTCCGGCCACCATTTCCTCCAGCACCCGCGGTCTGGGCGCCGACGAGCGCCGGAGCCCGGGCCGCGAGGGCGCGGCCACGGCCAAGGTCGAGGAGGCTCGCGCGCTGCCAGGCAAGGAGGCGTTCGCGCCGCTCACCGTGCAGACGGACGCGGCCGCGCACCTGGCCCAGGGCCCCCTGCCCGGCCTGGGCTTCGCGCCGGGCCTGGCCGGCCAGCAGTTCTTCAACGGGCACCCACTGTTCCTGCATCCCGGCCAGTTCGCCATGGGGGGCGCCTTCTCCAGCATGGCCGCGGGCATGGGGCCCCTGCTGGCCACCGTGTCCGGGGCCTCTACTGGCGTCTCGGGCCTGGATTCCTCGGCCATGGCCTCTGCCGCCGCTGCGCAGGGACTGTCTGGGGCATCTGCGGCCACCCTGCCCTTCCATCTCCAGCAGCACGTCCTGGCCTCTCAGGTAGGTGTCCCCTCTTTCTGCCTCAGCAGCTGCGGTTTTCCCACCTTTTGATTCCAGACCCTCGCAGCAGCTCCCTTGCCTTAGAATAATAATATATAATAACAGTCATTACAAACTATTATTTTTAATCGACCCATTACTAGGTGCAAGATTTAACTCACTGAGTCATCATGACCTCACCCCCCCCCCTCCTAAAAAGGCTTCCCCAGGGCTGTTTCCTGCAGAGTAGATAGTGCTAGAGATAACAGCGGGACCTAGTGCTCACGAGCAGCAGGCTGTCTCCTAGGCCCTTCATCTCTTCTGACTCTTTTGATCTAAACCTTCAGTGGGACTTTTGACACCTCCACTTTTCAGCTGGAGAGGAAGAGGCCTGCAGATGTTGAGTAACTTGTCTGAGGTCACACAGCTAGTCCTTGGTGGAGTTGAGACTCTGTCCCAGGCTATCTGACTCCAGGGCCTTTTTCAGGGTTTTTGGATTTTAGTTTTGGAGCTAAAATCTCTAGTGTCAGAGAGCCAACTGTTCCCCAGGAATCCAAGGACTAGAGGGTGACTGAGGCCTGGGGGGTGGGAAGTGACTTCTGGGTTGAGTATTCATTCAGTCTCTGCTCCCTACCCCCACCCCAAGTAGGCCAGCCTGTCCCCCATAGGGTTAACAGTTTGAGCACGCGTGGGAAATGTTGGAGGAGAGGGACCAGCAGGGGCTGTGGCAGGCCTCTGTATGGTCAGACAGCTGTGCTGGGGAGCAGGCTCAGGCCGCTCAGAATGCTCTGAACCTGCTGAAAAGGTTCTCTGGGATTTTCTGCAAGCCCTTGCTTTTTGTTTTGCTGAACACTTTGTCTCCCTTGCCAGAGCCACAAGGCAGGACTGGCCTCCCCTCTTGGGGAGGAGGGGGCCGAGAAAAAGGGCTGGCTTGTGGCCTCTCTCAGTTCCTCCCCTGTCCCCTGAAGGATTCTCCTGGAGACTGGGTCACAGGTAGCAGTAATAGGTGCATGTGCACCGGCCTGGGCATTCAAACACTCTAGGCATGGTGCAGACCCAGGCTCCCTACATTTTAAAGTCTCTTTCTGCCACTTATTAGCTGAATAAATCCCTGGGCCCCTGAAGCCTGCCTCAGTTTCCCACCTGTGACACTCAACAATTAGGCCAGGTGATTTCTTTGTCTCGGACAGCCAAATGCCACCCCACTCAGTTTGCTTTGCTTCACATATTCCATACTTATTTGGGGGTCTCATTTGGGAAACTTGCAACTGGAATCAAAGATTGGAGAGGATAAGAATGCCTCCCCACCCCCCCAAAAAAGTCTCATAACATGTCCCCTTGGTTTTCCTTCAGCCATCTCTGGGTTCGACTGAATCCATAGCCCACTTAACAGGTGCAGCAAATTTTTTTTTGTGGGGGCGGGGGGTAGGTGGGACTAGGTGCTGTGGGCCAGATACTATGTGTGACAGTTGTGGCCATTACCTTATTTCCAAACACCAGTCCTCAATCAGTATATGATGCTTTGCTGTTCCCTGATTGTTCATATCAGGAGGCTGAAATGCAGTGGTTCCATTCCTCTGCCTAGGGGGACATAGCTAAGACTGGAATCTAGACATGTCATATCATCCCAGTGCCCCAAAGGAAAGGCTTTGCCGGGGTGGTGGGGAGGATTTGGAGGAGACTGGCTCCTCCCGGCCCCGCAGTCCCTGATCTCAGTGTGGTTTCTCTTCCTTCCCCAGGGCCTGGCCATGTCGCCTTTTGGAAGCCTCTTCCCTTACCCCTACACGTACATGGCCGCAGCAGCTGCCGCCTCCTCGGCTGCGGCCTCCAGCTCCGTGCACCGCCACCCGTTCCTCAGCCTGAACAGCATGCGCCCGCGGCTGCGCTACAGCCCCTACTCCATCCCGGTGCCGGTCCCCGACAGCAGCAGCCTGCTGGCCACCGCGCTGCCTTCCATGGCGCCGGCCGCGGGGCCCCTGGACGGCAAGGCCGCTGCCCTGGCCTCCAGCCCCGCTTCGGTGGCCGTGGACTCGGGCTCAGAACTGAACAGCCGTTCCTCCACGCTCTCTTCCAGCTCTGTGTCCTTGTCTCCCAAACTCTGCTCCGAGAAGGAGGCGGCCACCAGCGAACTTCAGAGTATCCAGCGATTGGTCAGTGGCTTGGAAGCCAAGCCCGACAGGTCCCGCAGCGCGTCCCCCTAGACCCCCTGCTGAAAAGTCTCTTCATTCCAGTTCAGTCAAATCTGCAGCGCACTTTGTTGGATGTAAACTAAACCACGGGCTGTGGGGTTACCCCCTTCCTTTTGCAGTGGTGTCTGGGAAGGGGCAATCGACTCCCTTGAGAGAATGTCCGAGAGACAGACCCTGTCGCCTTGGCAAGGTTTATAGATCTCAGTTCTGGCTCAGATTCGGGGGGGCTCAGAAACCACTGTTGCATCGAGCCACCCGGTGGAAGCATGGCATGTGTGTCCTGAGACTGCCATCCAGGCTGGTCTGGAAGCTGTGGCCCCAGGAAGAGGTAGCTGAGCCCTCCAGGGGGGAGAGGTGTTGAAAAGCATTTCCCTCAATGTGGATTTATATGATCTATTTTTTTTTTCCTTTCACCGTGTCAAGTGGAAACAAATAAAATTTTTAAAAATCGGGGGCAAATGCATACATTAAACATGATTGTGAAGAGTGAAAAACTTCATAGTGACTTGCATATTGGTTCTCAATAAATTACTGAGCAGCCTTGTTTGGGGAGGGAGGTCCCTGCCATTCTTGTTTAGTCTATATTAAGGAAATCTGTGTCTTTTTAATATTCTTGTGATGTTTTAAGAGCCGCTATAGGTCTCTTCTTGCATGTTCCACAGTAGTATATTTGTGGTTTTTATTTTGAACGCTTGCTTTTAGAGAAAACAACACAACCCCATCCCCTCTCAACCTGTGCGCTCAAGTCTGCAACCCCAAGGAAGTGGGGGGGGTGGGGGGGACACAGAGAAGGGGTGGGGGAAATGAAAACTGAATTTATTTTATCTGAGCTCTGTAGCTGGATTGACGTCCCTCTTCGACAGTTTGTTCTTTCCTGTATATGCAATAACAAGGTTTAAAAAAAAATAAAGAAGAAGCGAGACTATTAGACAAAGTATTTATGTAATTATTTGATAACTCATGTAAATAGGTGGAATATGAAAATGCTTGGAAAATTAAACTTTAATTTATTGACATTGTACATAGCTCTGTGTAAATATGATTGCAATTGTCAGGTTTTTGTTCTTGTTTTCTTTTAGTCAATTTTATTTCCAGGTCACAGAATTGCTGTTCACACTAGAAAACAAGACTTTCTGCACCGACATCTACACACTTTCAAAAGAGTTGTCTGCAAAATTTATTTTTCTTTTTTAATGTCAAGAGTAGGGGTTGTGTGTGTGGGGGGAGTGCTGTTTCCTATTTTAGCCAAAATTGGGGAGGAGTTAGCACTTCCCAGCTCCACTTGAAATTCCTGAAAATATAACACCCTGAGAGTGGTCCTGGGATTGGTGTGGGCTGGGGGGAGTGCAGAGACTGTGGTTTGACTTCCCAACTTTCCTTTCATATTTGTATCTGCTAGTCTCTGATTTCCTCCAAATGAAGTGGAATTTAACTACTGTTGTCAATCTTGATGGCGTTTTGAATTGGTGCCTATAGGGAGAGTCTCAGTTCAAAAGTCAGGTGCTGAGGGATGGTTTAAAAGACAAAAATCCATGAAGGTATATTTTGTGTTATAGTTGGCGAGTTCTTTGGTTTTCTGTATTTTTTTCCTCTTTAAAACATCACTGAAATTTCAATAAATTTTTATTGAAATGTTTTTGGGCCTTGTGTTAAATGCTTTCTCGCAACTTTCCCTGAAGGTAGAGAACCGGAGAGGATTCTGTCTCTTCTTTGGCCTCCCCCCCGCCCCTTTCCCTTGCCTTTAAATAATTTTAAGACCGCCCCCAGCCAACCAAAATGAGATGTCACTCAAGTTACAAAGCTAAGAACAAAAGTCCCGTACTACAGCGGAGCCGCTTCAATCTGAAAATACTTTTCTTTTAAATTAGGGAGCAAAACGGCAGAGAAAAGGAGCCTGATCTGAATTCGAAAGAATAGTAATTTCAGATACTTAAATTTTAATAGGGAAAGACCCGTCCTGTCCCGAAGTCAGCTTTTCCCACAGGAATTCGACCAAAAATAAGTTTGAGCTCCAGGAACGGTTTTTTTTCGGTTTAAGTTCGCTCTCCCTTTTGAGACAGATCTGGGAACTCCAAGTCAAAAATATCTCCTGCACAATGTGTTGGGCGCGGGGGGTGGGGGGGGGTGGGGGAAAGACTAGCAGAATCCCCAGGCGACCAGAGCCGCTGGCCAGCCGGTGACTCCTCCAGGTTGTAGGAGAAATGGATCAAGAGGAAGGCTTCTCGCCCCCACTCCACCCGGCAGTCCCGGGTGTCTTAGACCCCACCAGGCTGGCCCGGGGCGCCTCTACGAGGCCCCATCCATCCTCTGGCTGTGCGTGCAGGGCGCCGACAGTTCTGCGCAAACTTAGCTGTGTCTCGAGAGGGAGGAGGAAAGTCTTCCTTGCATTTGAAAGGCGCCTATTTCACCTCCTCCAAGGTAAAAGTCGCCCCCGAGGGCGATCCTTACTTCTCACCCGTCTCCAAGAGTTTAGGAAGTTGCCTTTTGAAGTTCAATTTATCTTTAAAACATTCAATTTAAAAAAATGCCAGGGCCCAGTCAATTTTAATCTCCCCACCCCCAGGCTCACCTCGGAGTTGTCTCTATGTCTTGGGGGTGGGGGGAGGTAAGGGAAGTTTCTCCAGGGTTAGTCCTTAGGCCTTTTCTTGCCCTGGGGCCCATGACGCGAGGGCCCAACTGGAGCCTGGCTGGCGGCTGACTCGCTCCCCCCCCCCCCTCCGGAGCCCGCCTGCCCGGCCCCACGTCCCTATCACCTTCAGGCCTCTTGAACGGCCGGCGAGGAGGACATCCCCCGCCCCGGGCCTCCCGGTCCTGTACTTGGAAGAGGATTGAGGTCGAGACCTTTTGGAGAGGGGGGCAAAACCCCTTCCATCCCCGATCAGGCACGTGGGGACCCCCACGGCCTCTCCAGAGCTGTCTCAGGGAGTGAGCAGGAAGACAACCAGAGTGGGGGGTGGGACTTGGAGGGCCTGAAGACCTTTGGGGTCAAAGCAACCCCATCGGGCCAGGGTGTGCAGCCGGACGCGCGGTGGCTGGTGCCCAAGGGGGCTGGTTCTCGGCGCAACGAAAATGCTCGGTGCCCACGCGCCTGACAAGGTAGTAGTGGGCTGGTTGCGCCCAGCTGTGCGCTTCCAAATTGGGGAGAAAATAACTCGGCCTCCAAGAGAGAAAAATGCGTTCCTTTTCCAGCCCAGATCGCTTGCCTCCTCCCTAGCCCCCCGCCCCCCAAATTTAGGGACAGTGCTCAAACATGTGTCCGGCCTCTCCTGCGGGCTTTCCTTCCTCCTTACTGTTTTTTAATCTCCTGTGTATCTTATTTGTATATAGCGATGTTAATAAGTAACTCTCCTGGCGCTGATGGACTGGGGTGAACGGCTTGCAATCTCTCTGGATTTCGTTGCCTATTACTCACCTGGCGCCGGTCGCAATCTCGCCGCGGGCTTTATGGTGGCGGCGGCGGCCGCCGAGGCCACTCGGGGCAGGCGCCTTCGCCTTTTTTTTCCGGGCTTCGAGTGCCACCTATCTGTCTGGCCCACAAATGCGCCCTGGTAGCCGCCTCTGGCTAGGCGCCCCAGCGCCTCCCGGGTTCCGGAACTTGGGCGCTTCACCTTTGCCCCTTTTCGTCCCCGCCAACTCCAGCCCGCAACCCCACCCCTACGCCGACCCCACTCCCCTCGGAAGAAGCGGCCGTGATCTCTTTCCTGGATATCACTTTCATTCCTGTTTGGGCCTCAGATGAGAAAAACAGCCCTGTCCTTTGGGTTTCCAAAGAATGTTTGGAAATTCAGCGAGGGGACCGTCGCTCATAATTCTCTCGCCAAGTGGAAATCTACCCCGGCAGGGAATAACCTGAACTCGGGATGAGCAGACAGAGAAAGGACACCCTCTCCCCGATATGCACACCTCGAACTCTACCCTGGGTCCAACTTCCTTCGGCTTTCTTACTTTAACCACAGCAAAATTTCGTTCTTTAACCTGGCAGCGTCTACAGGGACAAAGGCCACGGCTCGCGGGAGCAGCAGTTCGAATAGCCCCCGGCGGTGGTCAGCAATCGGAGCCTGCAGGGCCGAGCGACTCGGTGATGTGTAGATTTAAGGTGACAAATGCGGGTGCCGGCCAGAGCCCTCCGGTCCCCGCCCGTTGGAAAGGTCGGCTCCAAGCCGGGCAGCGCCCTGGCGTCTGAGACCCGCGGAGGGGAGGGGTAGGGTCGCCTTTGGCTGTGCTTTGAGCCGCGGGCAAAGGCGTCCGGGTTCCTGCTGACCTCCCGGCGCTAATTGCTGGGGCCGAAGGGCGCGCTCGGGCAGAGGCAGGGGTCACGACCCTGCGCTCCCCCCCCCCCCAGCGTCCTCGCAGCCCCGAAGGAGCGAGGGGTGTGTGCAAGCCGGCGACTGTGTGTGCGTGCGTAGGGCCTGTCTCTGGATCTACGCTGTCTTGGGACCCGCCCTTTCTGTGTTTGGGGAAAGTTCCCGACGAGTAGGCCCTAAAAAAAATTTCCATCCAAGAAGGAAAACCCGGGTTCAGACCTTTCCCCTAAGCCAGCAGACAGGCAGCCGCCTTCGGGCGCTGCAAGACGCTTGAAACGCTTCGCGTCCGCGCACTTTCTGCCTCGCTGGTTTTCAAATTTGACCTCACGGCACCCAGCCAAGAGAGTGACTGTTGGAGTGTGTAGCTTTGAGCCCAAGCGGCGACCTGGGCTCTATGTACGTAGCCTTAGTTGGAGGTACCTTTGGGTAGCTCCTGGGGTGTTCTCGTTCTGAGGCCAGGAACTGCAGGTGTTAGAAAGGATACGTGTGTGTTTGCGTGTACTTGTGAGCGCTCCATCTGTCGCCGTCTCTTCCAATTTGGATTTAGAAGTTCATGCGCAAGACAGTTCCGGATGTAGATGCATTTGGTTGTTTTATAATCAAGATGCGTATAATCAAGAAGTATATGTTGCAGATGTCGGCGTTCAAAGTACACAGAACAACGATAATAAAAATAGTTGGCATACAAGGGCCACGTGCACGCGCCAGGCACTCGGTTAAGCACCCAGCAAAAGTGACCTCGTGTGGTCCTCACTATTAACCCTATAAGTTGTGTACGATTTTTTATCCCCATTTTACAAGGGAGGAAACTGAGTCTCAGAAGAGTTCAGTCACTTTACCCAAGATCACACCGGTGGGTTGGGGGGGATTATGGAACTAGAATTCTTTCTAATCACAATTCCTAATTCAGATGAAACACTTACCCACTGTATGTCCCGGATGTAGAGAAGTATATGGGTGTGTTCTGGATTTGGGAGACTGTGTCTCTGTCTCTCTAAAAGAACATTTTAATTTCTTCCTGAATCTGTCGTGCAGTGTGGAAGCACAGCTTTTATTTCGGCGTCCCACTCTCCTCTGCGTCCTGAAACACCTATGTAGGTGAAGATCGTGGGGTTTGGGGCCTTCGATCCCAGGTAGATTAAGACAGAGGTTGAGTCGTGTGCGGAAACCCGCATTTTAAAATGCTTGCAGCTGGATCTGAGCCGGAGGGGAGCTGCGAGCGAGAGGGAATGAGAATAGCGCCGGCGCCCGCCAGGGACAGCGAGGTGACCATGCTAATACACGGTTTCTCTCCTGCCAGGTCGGGGAGCAAGACTTGGCTGCGGATGTCGCGGGCTTTCCTCCATCCGCTTCATATCCTACCCCAAGTCCCCAGCATTTGCTGCGCCCTATCTAACCAGGTGGGAAGGCCGAGCACTATATGTGGCCTGCAGGTGGGGACTCTCCAGGCACAAGGATTATTTGCTTTTTTTTTTTTCCTCTTCTGGTTCAACCCTAACCTGCTTCTAGGAACCTAAGCAAATAGTTTTTCCTGCCCTATTAATTCCCACTCCTCACTTCCAGCTGGAAGCCAAGCACTCAACTAGTGGAGAGATGGATTCTCCCAGGAAAGTGCAGAAGGGGTGCTCAGCACGCAGCGCGCAGCCGGGGCCCCACACACCTGGAGAGCCGAGGCCGGGTCTGGGTGCCCACTGGATAGGGGTGAAAACTAATTGCCTGGGTAGGAAATAGCGCCTAAATCCCGAACGCAGGGCTCTTTGTGCCCAAAGGCTGGGATGAAATCTGGCCCTTGCACCCTGGATCTCGCCACTTTGGTGCAGTCCCTGGAATGGGGGGCAAAAGTAGGGGTTGGAGAGGGGCGTCAGAACCTGGCCGGGTACCACCCAAGTGTCGGGCTTTCCACTCCCTCTACCCTCAGTCATCCGGGTCCCAAGACCCCAGTGAGCCAATCTATTGGAGCTTTTGAAATGCGATCCCCGTGCCCCTTGGGTTTCCCACTAAGGACCTGGACTGTGGTTTCGGGTTGCGGAGCTGCCTCCCCGGGCGCCTCAACCAACCCTCGCCTGGGTGCTCTTCCCTCCCGCACAGCAGGTCCAGGAACCAGCGTCCCTGGCTTCTCTTAAGCTCCCCGCAAGCTTCCGGGACACTACAGGCACCAAAGTGACACTTGGAAGCGAACTTCCTTCCTGCCCCTTTAGCACGATGTCTTCCACCCGGGTCCCCAGAGCCGGCATCTTGGTTGTAGCTTATTATCTGTTTTTATGCCGGGGACCAGGAGCCCCTCACTCCTGTACTGTCAACCGCCTCGGGTCTTTACTCCCAGCCCCCAACCCTCCTACCCCTGGCGGAGAGCCGAGGTGCGAGCTGGTTGGGAGAGCCAGCGCTGACAGTGCGGCGGCCAAATAGCACACCCTCCTCCCCCAGGACCCCCTGTCCCGAAGGCCCGCAGCAAGGAATTCATCGGACCGCTTCCAGGGCGGGGTTGCTCAGTTGAATCCCCTGAAAACGCAAAGGTGGTTATTGTGCTTACGTGCATTTCTGAGGGGACCCTATAATTTCTCCCAAATTCTTAACCAAATTAAGAACCACTCTCTTATTGTCTCTCAGGGGACAATAAGAAATGATAGAGGGGAAACATTTGGGATGGTCCTCCCTAGGTAGAATTTAACTTTAGCTCCCCCCCCCCAATACACATTTGGAAGCTAAGTTTACAGACCCCAGGGGCCTCAGGCACTATATAATTTCTTGATTAACTAATGATATTAACTTATCAACCAGATGATTATGCACAGTCATTATCGCCCCCACTGCGTTCTGTGTTAATTTCCTGTTACTGGGGTCACCCTCCCTCCATAGCACAGGTAATAAAAGGGAACCACTTTTCATAAAACGAAATTACTTTTTACTAGATGCCTCCTACTTCAAGATCAAGGGTAAAAGGAGCTGCTGGGGAGGCCCCCCCTTGTGGGGAGAGGATGACAGGGGCCAAGGTTGGGGCTTCCTTGGCCTCTACATGCATCATAACAGTATGGTTTTAATGTGGGCAGTTTTCTTCTTTGGGATCATTTTTGGATCTTAGTTCTTTGACTAAAGAAGCCCCCTGGTGTAACTGGGGGTTTGAATTTTGGAAGGTAGGTGTGTGTGTGTGTGTGTGTGTGTGTGTGTGTGAGAGAGAGAGAGAGAGAGAGAGAGAGAGAGAGAGAGAGAAGGGGAGAATTTGGGGTCTGAGGGTCACTTGAGTCTTTCTTTTTCCCCAGGGCAAAAAAATAACAAGGTGAAGAATGGTACCCTTTCAATGCAGATAATTCCTTGTATTTCTATCACCCAACAAAGCCTACCACACCTATGGGTTGAGTCCTAATATGCCTAGCCACCACTCTGATTGGAAGGTGACCCCTCTAATTGGAAAGTAGAGGTGACAGAAAGTGGGTGAAATTTCTATCGTTCTCTTGACTTATGTCTCCTTCACTTTTTATTCAGCAAAACATATGAACAGCACATGAAAAGAAACATCTTAGACATTGCAGAATGTTCCACAAGTAGGGCTCCTTCCTCTTTTCTCCCCTCTGATAAAAATAGGAACCCTAAAGCCTGTCTTAATACACCCCTGTGGGTCCTGCTTGGCCACTTAGAGATGCATTGTTTTTCCCTGGAGTCAAGGCCAGGTTGGTTGGGAACAGCTGATGTAAGCTAAGCTACCTACTTATCTCTAAATCAACCTCCCACTGATCCTAGCCCCCCCAAACAAATTTACCACCAATCTCTATTTTACTCTTAACTTGCCACTCCCCGCCCCCCCCCCCCCCCCCCCGCCAATGTCTTGAAAGGAGATGACAAAGAAAATGTGACTGTCTGCCCTGCTGGGAGTAGGGGACCCGGTGCCTTTCCTCTAATTGTCACATGTCACTTCTGTGATGGTTTGGGTTGACACTAAAGTCCTCCTGGTGTTATTTATTTCCCTGGTTTCTTGAAATCTTCTTCTCTGCAAGTTGGGGGCTGAAAAGTCAAACAGGAAGGGGGGACTGCAGTGTATCAGCGCGAGCGAGCTACCTGTTCTGCAGAGCTCAGGGCAGGAGGGGTATAGAAATGGCAAGGACTGCCCGCCAGCCTGGCGCACCTCGGCTAGGCCTTTCCTCTGGTGTCATCTGCTGGTGGCCTGGGGGAAGTGCATGGGGCTTTTCCAACCCAGGGAATCTGTCGCATTGATTTATTATCCTTTCTTCCTTCAACGGTTATTGAGAAATGATTTTTCTTCTCATGGATTTTGCATTCTAGTGAAGCAAAAATTAAGGCCATTCTCTGAAAGTAAGCTATCTGGGGATGTAAGACGGAAGAGCATTTGCCTAGCATGCCTTAGCCCCTGGATTTAATCCTTAGCACCAGAAAATAATAATAATAATAATAATAATAATAGTGGTGATGACAATGATGTTGATAATGATAATAAAGGTAAGATACAGGGGCTGAGGACATAGCCATGGTGCAGCACTTGGCTTGCTTTGGGTCTCAATTCATCATAAAATAAAAGTAGAAACAATGAAATCTACAAACCTGCAAGCAGATACGCTGTGAAGAGCAACAATAGTTCCTGTTCCTTCCCCTTTTGGACTTTTGAGACTAAATTCCAATAAGGGCAGAGTTTGCTTAGTAGCTTCTCCTTCCTCCTGAGGGTCCTGGAGAGTTGCTTTGTCATTCACCCTGACTGCACCAATCCCTGGCAATTTATTTTTTATTTTTTAATTTTTTAATTTTTTTTTTTTGCACTAGGGATTGACCCCAGGGGCACTTAACCCTGAGCCACATCACCATTCCTTTTTAAAAAATATTTTATTAGAAAGAGGGTCTGGCTGAGTTGCTTATAGCCCCTTGCTAAGTTGCTGAGGCTGGCTTTGAACTCATGATCCTCCTGCCTCAGCCGGCCCCAGTAATTTAATTCAACCATCTGGACAGGGATTTAGGATATGGATTAACACTCCCAGATGCACAAGAGGAAGGTGGCATTCCAGCTGCCTGTCCTCCTAGGAGCCCTTCTCCTGGTCACATACTTCCTGAGGGGGTCTCAAGTGATCTGGCCGGCTCTAGCTTCTGCTCACCACTGGCAATTCTGGTCTGATGGCCTTCTGCTGTCCTCCTCTGAGATCTGCTGGTCACCTCACAACAAGACTGATCTCAGGGCCTCTTTAGCCTCCAGTTTCAGTGACTCCCTCTCCCTGGTCCTAAGGCTTGTCTGATCTGGCCTCTGCTTCGTTCTGTCCAATCACATTTTGCCCAATTATTTGGGTTCACACCATCAACTCCAAGTCCACATTTTCCTCCTCCCCAACTCAAGATCTTTCTTCATACTGTTCCTTTAGACTGGGGTTTTTTGATCGGGACATTGTTGACATTTTTTAAAATTAATTATTATTTATTTTTAAAATTATTTATTTACACCAGGGATTGAACCCAGGGGGTGCTTAACCTTGGAGCCACATCCCCACCCCATTTTTATATTTATTTATTTATTTGTTCGTTTGTTTATTTATTTTACATTTTGAGACAGGGTCTCACTAGGTTGCTCACAGCTTCCCTAAATTGCTGAGGCTGGCTTCAACCTGTGATCCTCCTGCCTCAGCCTCCTGAGACTGGGATGACAGGTACGTGCCACCACCCCTGGCTACTGTTGACATTCTGAACTGGATAATTCTCTGTGCAGGGTGCTGACTTGGGATTGCAAGTCTCTTAGCAGCATTTATCCCTGATTCCAACCTGTCAGATGTCAGTGCCATCCTCTTGTTCAATGGCAACAATAAAAAAAAAAAATGCCTCTAGACATTTCAGGAGTCCAGCTGGGGGAAGAGGAGGAGGGGTAAAATAAATCAGCCCTGGTTGAGAACCACCACCTTAGCCCAAATCCCCAAACCATCTTTTTAATTAATTAGCTATCTATCTATCTACCTATATATTTATTTATTTTGTGATGCTGAGGATTGAGCCCAGGGCCTTGTGCATGTGAGGCAAGCACTCTACCATCTGATCTATGTCCCCAGATTAATTATTAAAATAAATTTTAGGGGCTGGGGATGTGGCTCAAGCGGTAGCGCGCTGGCCTGGCATGCGTGCGGCCCGGGTTGGATCCTCAGCACCACATACAAACAAAGATGTTGTGTCCGCCGATAACTAAAAAATAAATATTAAAAAAAATTTAAAAAAATAAATAAATTTTAATTTTAATTTATTTTCAGTGCTGCGGATGGAACCCAGGCCTTCACCCACACTAAGCAAGTCCTCTACCACTGAGCTCCACCCCCAGCTTCCCCTCACCCTTGTCCTCTTTGGTTAATGCCAACATGGATGTCCGTGTCACTCCATAAAGGTTTCCCTAACCTCCAAGGCTGGGTTGGGTCTCCCACTGCAGGTTCTCAGGTTCTCTGACTTCTTCTGTGGAGCAGACAGCACCAGGTGTCCAGTGTGTCCCTACAAGAGTACAGGCAACCAGAGGGCAGGGGCCCCCTGCACCAGCTTCACTAAACCAGGTATGGGGAGGACTGCAAAGGAGAGGCGCTGGGCGGGATGAGGAGCTGAGGCCAAGCCTGCCCTCCAAGTCTCCTTTAGCTCCCGGGTCACTTTGGACTTTGCCTGTTTGCAGCCCATTCTGCAGTCCTCAAAGGACTCCAGGGGCACAAACAGACAGACGTAGGTGGCATCAATCAGCAGCCTGCAGACCAACCCTGCCCACCGGTTTTCATGCAGCCTATGAGATAAGAAAAAGTTTTTACTATTTCACTTTATTTTATTTTTATCTGGGGGTGGGGGATCCAATCCAGGGCTGTACATACACTAGGCAAGTGCTGTGTACCACGGAGCCTCAACCCCAGCGGTTTCCGTTATTTTAAAAGGCTACAGCGGGAAAAACAATCAAAAGAAGAACAATACCTAATGACATCGAAAATGGTCTGCCTTGCAAATTTTAGGATTCAAAACAAAATTTTATTTGGAATCCGGCCACGCCTATTCATTTACATATTGTCTTGTTCAAACAAGAGGCCATTTATACCCCAAACAGGAAATATTTAGTTTTCATCCTCTTGCAGAAAATGTTTGCCCACTGTTGGTCTAAGTCTCTTAGCAGCATTTATCTCTGATACTGAGCCTCATCCCCAGCCCTGTTTTGTATTTTATTTAGAGACAGGGTCTCACTGAGTTGCTTAGTGCCTCCCTGTTGCTGAGGCTGGCTTTGAACTTGCAATCCTCCTGCCTCAGCCTCCCAAACTGATGGGATGACGGGCATGTGCCACTGTGCCTGGCAGGAGACAGGGTCCTGAGGAAAGGCTCTGCTGGGCACAGGGTGGAGGTGGCCTCGGTTTACAGCAGCTCAGCCCACATTCAGGGTGGCAGAGTGGAAGGAAGGGGAAGGCAGAGACTCCAGGTGAAGCGAGATTTGTTTGTTTTAGACTCCACTCCACCCCTCCCCCCAGCAAAACCCAGGAGGCCTAAAGCTGGGTGACAAAGGCCAACATGCCCTTTTGAATGGCTTTTTCTGTGGCTTGCTTTTCTTTAGGCTGAATAGAGGAGACATAAGGTCACTAATTCTCCCAGCAATTCACTGAGCACAAAAGAGGCTGCAATAATTTTCTTCTCTCCTCTTTCTCTCTCTTTCCTCCCTCCCTCCCTCCTTTCCTTCCTTCTTTCCTTCCCAGATTCCCTCCCTCCCTGTTCCAGATAACAGCCTGGAGGGTCAGGCAGGGGGAACTGAGGCTTGGAGAGTTACCCATGGATTCCTTGGGGCTTCATCACAAAACCCAGGGGCCTGTCCTTCTCTAATGACGACGTGGCTCCGGCTCCCTCCCGACTTTGGCCTAAATGAGAATCTCATTATTTCTTTTTCTTTTTTTTTCATTTTGAATGCCTAGGATTTTCAGAACCCAAATCCAAGCTGAAAATGGAAGCAATTACCCAGATAATTTAGGTAAACCTCAGGGTTGTGTCCTGAGTGTTTTAACATCCGTGTCTGAATTATTGGGGTCATTGTTTCCACCCCTACTTATCATTGTGCAGTTGAAGAGGCCAATTCTGCCCTGACAGCCCCTGTTTGTTTTGTCCCTGTGGAACAAGGCCCCCGGTAGTTAAGGAGAAAGGACAAGAACAAAACCCCAGGGAGGGAGGGGGCGGACCTCAGAGGGCCAAGCCAATTTGCAGTTGGAGGTCAATAACCTTTGTAACTCCACAAAACCCTACTCAGGAGGCACCCCCAGCCCCTAGCCATTCTGCATCATGAAAACACTCCCAAATCTCAAAGTAACAATGAGACATATCCAGCACCTCGGTTTAAGTTGCCCAGGCTGACCTTGAACTTGCTGTCCTCCTGCCTCAGCCTCCTGGATTACAGGTATGCATCGTCATGCCCAGCAAAGATGCAGAATTTTAAGAAACTGAAAAAAAAATAAAAGCCTCCTATAATTTCTTAGAAAAAGAGAGGGAATTTTGGAGTCCAATATTTGTGCCCCCCACCCCCACCTGCAGTTTGCTTACCAGATAGATGTAGGACCCTGGACCCTTCCAGAACTTTTTACCTTCCTTTTAAAACAGTACCAGGGGGCTGGGTTATAGCTCAATGATAGCACATACAAGGTCCTGGGTTCTATCCCCAGCACCCCTTCCCTCCCTCAGATAGGACCGATAATGATCCTTGCTTTATAGGGTTTTTGGAAGATAATACAGATCAGGCGCACAGCCCGGGTACACAGTAAGTTTGACGCACGCCTGTCATTGCTATTATTTATGGGGATTGAGATTCCATCTGCATAGCTAAGAACAGAGCAGCCACCCCCAGACCTCCCAGCCAGCTCCTTTCCTGGCTGGCGCAGGCATGCCACGGGGAAACAGGAAGCCTGGTGCCCCACGGACACTCCAACAATGGGAAATCCATGCATTAAAATTTTATAGACTGCAGCGGCCAGTTCAAAAGAAACAGGCTCTAAAGAAAAGCAAACTGGTGTCCAACGACATCAAGTAGAACCAGGAGCCCCAAAGGGCATAAACTTCTTGTCTCTGTTCTTGTTTATTTATGACTGCACCCACCAGTTGGGGCAGCAGGAGCTGGCGGCCTACTTGGCCTACTTGTGAGCAGAGATAAGGCGTGGAGGTGCAGAGGGTTAGCCGAGACTCTGACTCGTCCCCCTGTCTTTTCAATATTCATGTTCTCCTTGTTCCCAGGGCTCCTGAAAGAAACATCACCATGCCGGTCACTTCTAAAGGTCTATATCTGGGCAGATCTTTCTCTTGACCTCCAGAACCATGTAGGTGTCTCTACACCTGTGTCCTTTCAATACCCTCAAAGCCAGTTTAGTCCATGATAGCCATCATGGACCCATTCAGGTACCTCCCTCAGAGACCTAAATCTGCAGACACTGAAGTTTCTTATATAAAATGGCATAGGGCTAGGTGTGGTGGCACACACCTATAATCCCAGAGGCTTGGGAGGCCGAGGCAGGAGGATTTCAAGTTTGAAGACAGCCTCAGCAACTTGTAGAGGCCCTAAGCAACTCAGCAAGACCCTGTCTCTAAATAAAATAGAAAAAAGGGTTGGGGATGTGGCTCAGTGGTTAAGCACCCCTGAGTTCAATCCCTGGTACTTTCCCCCGCAAAATGGCATAGCATTTGCATACAACCTACACACCCTTCTGCATACTTAAATCATCTCTAGGTTGCTTAGAGTACCGAGGACACTGCCGACCCTAAGCAAACATTTGTTACACTGTGTTGTCTAGTTGTTATTCTCTAAAAATGTCCTTATGTGTTCAGTATAGATGTAATTTCTTTTTCAAAGGTTTTCGATTCGAGCTTGGTTGAATTCACACGCGGGAGCCCGCAGACACAGAGGACTGCCCAATCAGCTTGAATCTGTCTTTCCTTTCCAAGCTGAATTTCCAAGCTGAATGCTGCTCTTCTGCATTCTTCCATTATTGACTGACATCCATCCATCCAGTGAGTATCTGCAGAATCCCGCCTTCGTGCCAAGCCCTGTGCCAAGTGCTAAGAACACCAGGGATGGGGGCTGGGCTGCAGCTCAGTGGCAGGGCACTTGTCCAACCTGCAAGAGGCCCAGGGTTCCATTCCCAGCACAGGAAAAAGAAATACAGGGAAGCCCCAAACAGATACACCCCTGCTCTCAAGGAGTTCCCAATCTGCAGGAGAGTCCCCAAGCAGGGAAACACACCCCTTTGAAGACGCACCCATGTGCTATGAGGATTTCAGCTCAAAAATGGGACAATGGGATTCCAGGTCAAATTGTCACCCAGACTGATGCCCAAGCCCCCTGAACTCAGATGCATCCATGAGGCATTTAAGAATAAGCTGGACGTGTCCAGACTGGCCTGGGAAGCTCTCCTGGATGTGTCTGTCCTCAGAGCTGAGATGTGAATGACAAATGGGCGTTCAGTGGGTGATGAGTAGGTATTGAAAAGATGAAGCATGCGGTGGTCAGCAGACCCAGGAACCCGGGAGCAGTCTCTGACCCATCAGGCATCCTGGGGGAAAGCCGAAGGAAGCAGAGAAGCCAAATGCCTCGCACAGAGCCAGAGGGAGTTTGGCTGAAGCCACAGATGGATGGGACGGAGCCCATCACCTGTCCCCTGAGGGCTATTGAGCACCTACTGTGTGCCTTTCATTGTGGCTGACGGCCACAGCGATGATCAGACTCTCCTCCTGGGAGCTTGTTGCTGTCACTTCCCACTTAGGGAAGGACTGCCCACCTCTTGGAATTCCTTTACCTTTTTTTGAGCCATCGACCCGTCTGATGGATTTAGGAAACCAATAGCACCCTTTGCGGATGGATTTTTTTTTTCTCACGGTGTTGGGAGTTGAACCCAGAGCCTTGGGCATAGGAGGCCAGGAGTCTACAGCTCAGCCTCCCGATGAATGTTCTTAAATGAATAACATAAAACACAGAGGATTTCAAAGAAAATGGGTTATTTTGGCCTTTGCTTGGGCTTAGAGAATGTCTGTATCTCCAAGGTGCAGATGAGGGCTCAAGTCCTTGGTGCAAGCCACGGTAGGTTGACAACTTGCACTCCACGCCGTGCTCCAGATGTGTGGCTATTGGACAATCTCCAGGTCAGTCATTCCTTATGCTGAATGCATTGCATGTTCCCTGAGTTATTCCCCTTTCTTTCTTTCCTTCCTTCCTTCCTTCCTTCCTTCCTTCCTTCCTTCCTTCCTTTTTCTGTTTTGTTTGTATTGGAGACTGACCCCAGGGTCCAACTGAGCTGCATCCCCAAACCTTTTCATTTTTTTATTTTTGGAACAAGATCTCCATAAATTGCCCAAGCTGGCCTTGAACTTAGAATCCTCCTGCCTCAGCCTCCCCAGTAGCGGGGATTACAGGCATGAGCCATTGCACCCAGTTCCCACAGGGTTTTTCTAAAGAAATGGCTGTCTGGTTCTTTTTTGAAGTTTTTTTTCTCTCCTCCTTCTCCTTTTTCTTTTTAGAAGAGGATGCCTTGGTTAGGGGACTCTCAAGGAACTGATTGGCGGTTGTAGGGTTCCTTGTGATTTCATAATTTGGATTTCTAGTGGATACATCTGACTCCCATGATGTGTGTGTGTGTGTGTATGTGTGTGTGTGTGTGTGTGTATTGTTTGTTTGGGACAGGGCCTCATGAGTTGCCCAGGCAGGCCTCCAAGTTGCAATCCTCCTGCCTCAGCCTCCAGAGTATCTGGGGTTACAGTATGCACCACCATGCCTGGCTTGAGGATATAAATTTTAAATTAGGTGCTATTGGTGCTTTTCTAAAGAAAGGGTCTGCAGACATTTTCTACAAAGGGCCCCATAGTCGATACTGCAGGCTTCCTGGTAGTTGATACTCCAGGTTTCGTAAGCCACACGCCACCCAGGCTTTGACATGATTGCTTGGCTCAAACAAAGATGTGTGACCACTTAAAGACACTGTAAATTTTATATTAAGTAATAGTTTTCTTTTGATTTTTTCCAACAATTGAAAGAGGTACAAACCACTCTCAGCTTGAAGGCCTTTCAAATAAAGTCAGCAGGCCCAGGGAAGTAACAGGCCAGGGTCTGCCAATCATTCCCCACCCAATTCCTATGTTGAAGTCTTAAACCCCGGGTACCTCAGAATGTGTCTATTTGGAGACACAGTCTTTAAAAAGGGAATTAAGCCAGGCACGGTGGCACATGCCTGGCATCCCAGCAGCTCGGGAGGCCGAGGCAGGAGGATCACAAGTTCAAAGACAGCCTCAGCAATTATCAAGGCCCTAAGCAACTCAGCAAGATCTTGTATCTAAACAGAATACAAAAAAAAAAAAAAAAAAAAAAAGGGTTGGGGATGTGGCTCAGTGGTGAAGCACCCCTGATTTCAATCCCCAGTACTAAAAGAAGAAAAAAAGTTAAAATGAGGTCATTGGGATGGACTCTAATCCAATATGTCTGGTGCCATTGTAGGAGGAAGTCAGAACAGATGCACAGGGAGGCCTTCATGTGAGCCCATCGAGACTGCAAGCAGGAGAGCTGATTCCAGCCAACCTCGATGACACCTTGATCTCAGCTCTGAAGGCTGGAGGAGATAAATGTCTATTGTGTAAGCTCCCCTAGTCTGTGAGGTTGTAAGGGCAGCCCCGAAACACACATGCTGTGTGCTGGGCACATCCTCATACAATATCAGTCTTTTTATTTTCCTGTGGTACTCGCTAAGGCACTGGGGCTGGCTTTGAACCTGAGCTCCTCCTGCCTCAGCCTCCCTAGCCTTTGGGATCACAGGCATGTGCCACTGCAACTGGGTACGTTGCCATTCTTAATTTTCTCACTGACCTGATAATGAGGTTGATCTTTCTTTCTTGGTGGAAAGACAGAACATTTGAGCAGCTAGAATGATCATCCAAACTCATGCAGTGAATAAGTGGATTAAAATTCCAGAGACTCTAGGCTGTATCCCTGTGCATCCTCTAAGGACAGAATCCCGATTTGGCCTTCATAAAAGACGTGAAATGCAATAGAAATCTTTGGACAGGAGAAACCAGTCGCAGAAACAGATCTCGCCCATTAGGACCCCAGAATGACTGTGTTGGGTTGTGGGAGCCTCGGGTAATCTCCTTCCTCTCTCTGGGTCCTCTATTTTTATTATCGGGAAATGGGCACCTTGGACCCATGGAAAATACTCAAGGCTCTTGCCCAAAGCGTCAAGGTCAGATTCAAGGCTCAGGGGGCTTCAAACTTCCGTCTCTCCTTCTTCTACAAGATTCTTTGCTGGTGAGCACCCAACTCTTTTTTTGATTGCTTTTATTTTTTTAAATACATGACAGCAGAATGCATCACAATTCTTATACACATATGAACACCATTTTTCATATCTCTGTATATAAAGTAACATATTAATTGGATTATTTTATAAAACTCTTGAATGATATTTAATTGTCTGAAAACCGTGGGACTTCAGAGAAAATGATAAATGAAAGGAAGTGGCACATTTATAGCCAGAGAACCCCAAGACCATCCTCTGTTCTTTTCTCCGGGCTTCAAAACGTACACAAGCTCTATTTCCTTCCCGTGGCAGGATTCATTTTACGAGCGCAGAAGGGACAACAAAGGTCCCCCTCCCTGGTCAGGAATACCAGCAGGCCCCTGCTCTGTTGTTGAAGGCAGGATGGGCACCCCTCGATTGGGGGGGGGTCTTTGGCAGGAGGTTTAAGGAGCCTCCAGGAATCTGGGTGCTTCCTCTGTTCCACACCCACCTGTCCCCAGGCCTGGACCATCCACCCAGCTGGAGAACAATCTATTCTTTCTGGAACTGACATCAGGGACTGGAGTGGGGAGGAAGTGCCATGGAGCTGGGGGGGGGGGGGCGGATCCTGCTGACACTGGGGAGACCACACGAGCTGGCAGGACAACGTCAGCGACGTCCAATAGGAGCCTCCACGTCCTTCCCTTTTCTGAGGGTCAGGAGAGGGCCCTGGCTGGACGGAAGTGGGGGAAGAATGCAGCGTCCCTGCGCAGGCCCGGGAGGCCGGAGTGGCCCCCCGCAGGCTCCAGAGGAGCCTCTTGACCCCCACTTCAGACAGGCCCCTGAGTCCTGCAGATTGCTGAAAGTCAAGTGGGAAGCCGGAGCCTGCGCACTGTGCTCCCCAGCTGCCGAGGGTCTGGGCTGAGGCTTTGATGGGGAATCACGAAGCAGCCACATATTTACTTTAAAAAGATAAAAAGCTGCTTTTGAAGGTGCCCATCCTCCATGCATAAGGCATTGCAACCAAGAAACAGACTGGGAAGCCACCCAGGGGTGGCACTAGGGACAAACCCAATTTTTCTGAAAAGAAACGCTCTGCACGCGGTGCCAGCTGCCCCCGGCCTGTCTAATCTAGGGGGACACGACAGCCCCCCGCCCCTTAGTCTCACATCAGGATGGGAAGGCAGAGAGCACCTGGAGGTGGGGGGGCTGCAGCGAGGAGGGGCGGGGCGAGAGCGAAGGTTCTGGATGGGGTGAAACTTGATTCTTGGGGGTGCTGAAAATCAGACTCTGCGCATAAAGCTAGAGAGACAGATCCGCACACATGCGCAGTGCACTGCGGATAATAAAATAGCACTGAGTTACTCCTCGTCTCCCGCAGCGCCCGTGGCCCCTCGCGGCCCTCCCTCGGGCCCCCTCTCTCCACCGCCGCGGCCCCTGGAAGCCGCTGCTCGGCTCTCAGCTCCTGGAGGTGGACACTTCCCGCTCTCCCACAGGGGCCCGCAGTGGCCATCTCTCGGTTTCCCCCGTCTTTTCCTTGGCCCAGGGTCCTCTAAGCTCACCTATGTCGTGACACAGGACAGATAGGGGGTCACTTCTATCAGCATGTGGGATAACTCCAGCTGACCACCGTTAATTGTATTTCAAAAAAGCTCGCGGACAGGAGGACTCGGAACCTTCCCGACACAGCAGCGCGCTCCAGGTCTGAGGCGAAGGCTCTGCGGGCTGCTCTGATCCGATCATCACTCACGGCAACATTGTATACAGGTACTGAAATGTCACACTGCACCCCATAAAATGCAAACTTATTATACTTCAATTAAAAATTCTAAGCAGGGCTGGGGATGTGGCTCAAGCAGTAGCGCGCTCGCCTGGCATGCGTGCGGCCCGGGTTCGATCCTCAGCACCACAAACAAACAAAGATGTTGTGTCCGCCGAAAACTAAAAAATAAATATTAAAATTCTCTCTCTCTCTCTCTCTCTTAAAAAAAATAGAATTGTTAAAAAAAAAAAAAATTCTAAGCAAAGACGGACACGGTAGCACACGCCTGTGATCCCAGTCACCTGGGAGGCTGAGGCAGGAGGATCGCGAGTTCAAAACCAGCCTCAGCAAAGGGGAGGCACTAAGCAACTCAGTGAGACCCTGTCTTTAAACAAAACACAAACTAGGACTGGGGATGTGGCTCAGTGGTTGAGTGCTCCTGAGTTCAATCCCTGGTACCCCTCAAAAAAATCTAAGAAAAACTATTCATGGGGTTGAGCAATTAGGGGGAAAATGTCTGAAGAGGTCTCTTATGGTGTACAATAATGAGAAGGATGAGAAACTCTGACCTAGAGCATATAGATTCTGGTACATTCAAAATCCACCTTTGCTGCTTTCATTTATTTTATTTTTTTAAAATTTTTTATTGTTGGTTGTTCAAAACATTACAAATTTCTTGACATATCATATTCCACACTTTGATTCAAGTGGGTTATGAACTCCCACCTTCACCCCATACACAGATTGCAGAATCACATCAGTTACACATCCATTGATTTACATATTGCCTTACTAGTGTCTGTTGTGCTCCGCTGCCTTTCCCATCCTCCACCATCCCCCCTCCCCACCTCTCCCCTCCCCTCCCCTCCTCTCTCTCTACCCCCTCCACTGTATAACCCTGAGGGTCTCCTTCCATTACCATGCAATTTCCCTTCTCTCTCCCTTTCCCTCCCACCTCTCATCCCTGTTAAATGTTAATCTTCTTCTCATGCTCTTCGTCCCTACTCTGTTCTTAGTTACTCTCCTTCTATCAAAGAAGACATTTGGCATTTGTTTTTTAGGGATTGGCTAGCTTCACTTAGCATAATCTGCTCTAATGCCATCCATTTCCCTGCAAATTTTATGATTTTGTCATTTTTTAATGCAGAGTAATACTCCATTGTGTATAAATGCCACATTTTTTTTATCCATTCGTCTATTGAAGGGCATCTAGGTTGGTTCCACAGTCTTGCTATTGTGAATTGTGCTGCTATGAACATCGATGTAGCAGTGTCCCTGTAGCATGCTCTTTTTAGGTCTTTAGGGAATAGACCAAGAAGGGGAATAGCTGGGTCAAATGGTGGCTCCATTCCCAGCTTTCCAAGAAATCTCCATACTGCTTTCCAAATTGGCTGCACCAATTTGCAGACCCACCACAATGTACAAGTGTACCCTTTTCCCCACATCCTCGCCAGCACTTGTTGTTGTTTGACTTCCTAATGGCTGCCAATCTTACTGGAGTGAGATGGTATCTTAGGGTGGTTTTGATTTGCATTTCTCTGACAGCTAGAGATGGTGAGCATTTTTTCATGTACTTGTTGATTGACTGTATGTCCTCCTCTGAGAAGTGTCTGTTCAGGTCCTTGGCCCATTTGTTGATTGGGTTGTTTGTTCTCTTATTGTCTAATTTTTTGAGTTCTTTGTATACTCTGGATATTAGGGCTCTATCTGAAGTGTGAGGAGTAAAGATTTGTTCCCAGGGTGTAGGCTCCCTATTTACCTCTCTTATTGTTTCTTTTGCTGAGAAAAAACTTTTTAGTTTGAGTAAGTCCCATTTGTTGATTCTAGTTATTAACTTTTGTGCTATGGGTGTCCTATTGAGGAATTTGGAGCCCGACCCCACCGAATGTAGATCGTAGCCAACTTTTTCTTCTATCAGACGGCGTGTCTCTGATTTGATATCAAGCTCCTTGATCCATTTTGAATTCACTTTTGTGCATGGCGAGAGAAAGGGATTCAGTTTCATTTTGTTGCATATGGATTTCCAGTTTTCCCAGCACCATTTGTTGAAGATGCTATCCTTCCTCCATTGCATGCTTTTAGCCCCTTTATCAAATATAAGATAGTTGTAGTTTTGTGGATTGGTTTCTGTGTCCTCTATTCTGTACCATTGGTCCACCCGCCTGTTTTGGTACCAGTACCATGCTGTTTTTGTTACTATTGCTCTGTAGTATAGTTTGAAGTCTGGTATCGCTATACCGCCTGATTCACACTTCCTGCTTAGCATTGTTTTTGCTATTCTGGGTCTTTTATTTTTCCATATGAATTTCATGATTGCTTTCTCTATTTCTACAAGAAATGCCGTTGGGATTTTGATTGGCATTGCATTAAACCTATAGAGAACTTTTGGTAATATCGTCATTTTGATGATGTTGGTTCTACCTTTGCTGCTTTCTAGCTGTGCATCCTTGAGCCAGTTACCTAACCCTTCTGAGCTATGTTTTCACATGAAACATAGATATGAGAATACAATGCTGTCTATGGATTTAAACTCTTAATATCGGCTGGGATGTGGCTCAAGCAGTAGCTTGCTGGCCTGGCATGCGTGCCGCCCAGGTTTGATCCTCAGCACCACATACAAACAAAGATGTTGTGTCCACCAAAAACTAAAAAATAAATATTAAAAAATTCTCTCTCTTTCTCACTCTCTCTTAAAAAAAAAAAAGAACTCTTAATGTCCATTGTGGCTAAACCAATGTGTGACATCTATAGCAAGCATTTTGTCACCATGAGTCATTTTTATCATCAGGAACTCATAGGATCAACTTCTTCTTCAAAACCAAGACAGACCTCCTCCAGGATTTGAGGTTAAGCTTTCTAAGAACACTTAACTTGAATCCTACATTGTTGCCCCAACAGCTTGATTCTTAGATCCTGGCTACGAGGTGATTGTTAGAAAACTGGTTCACTCAGGGTTTAATTATCAGGCATGCTGCTTCTGAGGCTCAGAGCCACAGGTCACCAAAAGTCCTATGCAGGACCTATATGCTGGCCCATCAAACGCCCTCCATGCCTATCAAACACAAGGTGCTGGAAAGGCCTCTGAGACCGCTGTTGGGTGGTCCACCAGTTCAGCGCTGTCTTCCTCCTCCTCCTGTGGATCTGGCTGCATTTCCAGTCCACCCCCTGGCGAAGGTCTTGAGGTGCTTCTGGTTGCAAAGAGGACCTCACAGAACCTCCCTAACCCTGACCCTCAGGCAGCTCTGTGCTGGGTGCTTTGGAGGTATTCTCCGGAAACCTTACCACTTCTTGTGGGGCGGAATCTCAATGGGCAGGTGAGGAAACAGGGGTGGGGGGTGAGGCACTCACCTGAGGTCTCCACTGCCACACAACGAGTCTGAGTCCATCCCTGCAGGCACCTGCTTGAGTCCAGATTTCCCTGTTTCCAAAGCTCTTGACAGAGCTGTGTCTTCAAGACAGGGCAGCCTCCAACTGACGGTGAATACAGAAAATAGCAGGCGTGGGGACCGCAGAGTGGCTGTAAGTCACAGGGTGCTGCAGGACTGGCGCTCAGAGTGCGCAGTCAGCATAGCATTCCTGTGTTTCCGTTCTTCAGATGGAACAAGTAAACGTCATTTACCTGTGATCACACACCAGGAAAGTGGGGAAGACAGGACTTCATCCAGGCCTGACCCTGAGAGTGTGCTTATGATGGCTCATTTCTTCTTCTTCTTCTTTTTTTTTTTTTTCTTTTTGGTAGGAGGGATTGAACCCAGGGCCCTTTACCACTGAGCCACATCCCCAGCCCTTTTCATTTTTTAAATTTTGAGACACGGTCTCACTAAGTTGCCCAGGCTGACCTCAAACCTGTGATCCTCCTGCCTCAGCCTCCAAAGTTTGTGGGGTAATGGGCCTGGGTCACCTACACGGCCCATTTTCTTTTCTTTCAAGCAAATCGGCAGTGAGAATCTAAGACACCGAGATTGCCCGATTGTGGTCTGTCTGTTCAGGGGTTTTCTTTCTTGATTCCTCATTGCCCCCCCCCCCCCACTTCCCTGCAGTTCCTAAATATGGCTGGGAAGTGAACGTCCTATTGTGGAAATCAGATGAGATAAAGGCGGTGACAGTGCTGTCCCTCTCTCCCTCAGGCAGGCAGAGCCTGGAGAACCTCTGTGAGTTCAAAGCCCTTCCTCTGTCGGGGCCTCCATCTCTTCACCAGGTAAAAACAGGGATAATAGCATCAGGCAGAAGAAAAAGCAGTTGCTTCAGATGCTCATGAGAAACGTGGGAAGACGGGCCACTTCTGTGGGTGTTTCCGGAGCCTTCAGCAGTGTGGGCTGAAGGACTGGAGAGGCTGGGTATGGCCTGCAAACTCCCAGAGGCCCACTCGTCTCGGTTGTCACTGTGCAGGGTGACCAAGTTAGGACAGCCCAAGTCAGATTTCATGCCCTGCTTACACTCTGCCCCCTTCAGCCGCCCACCAGCTCGCTCACAGCCTGCTCCCCCACGCCGGACCCACAGACTCGCCACTCACTCATCTGCTCACCCACGGGCTCAATCACTCGTCCACCCATGCATCCACTCACTACCTCGTTCATTCATTCCCCGCCTCCCTCGGGCGGCCCCGATTGCCTCATTGGCCACCTTGGCCATTCACAAATTCATTCACCATCTTCATTCAATAAGCTGCTTCTCAGGACACTGCACATTTCACATGGCTGCTTGGGACCGGCAGCTAGGGGACAGCACAGTCAAGGTCTCTGTGCGTTCTAGTGGGCAGAGACAAGGAGAGTGGAAACCAAATAATAATAATAATAATAATAATAATAATAATAATAATAATTAATAATAATAAAAACCACAGGTGACAAGCATCCTGAAGAGACTACAAAGAAACTCAGGAGACCCAGAGCCAGAAAGGGGCCATTCAAGGCGGGGAGGTCCAGGAAGGGGCTCTAGGAGGTAGCCTTGGGAAAGCAATCTAAAGAGGTCAATGGGGGCTGGGGATGTGGCTCAAGCGGTAGCGCGCTCGCCTGGCATGCGTGCGGCCTGGGTTCGATCCTCAGCACCACATACAAACAAAGATGTTGTGTCCGCAGAGAACTAAAGAATAAATATTAAAAATAAAAAATTTAAAAGAGGTCAATGGCCAGAGGGACCATCCCAATCAGAGCTCTCTGCCACCCCTTCCCAATAGCTTTGCTGCTGTCATGGTGAAATGCCATCAGGGGGCTGGCTGTGGCTCAGTGGTGGAGCCTTTGCCCAAGGCCTGTGAGGTCCAGGTGTCCCTCCCCAGCACCACAACACAATGAAAGAAAAACAATTAAAAAGGAATTAGGGCTCAAAGTCAAAAAGAGAGATGTTTTAAATAAGCGAATACACAACCAGGTGCTCAGGATGGGACGTCACCCAGTTTTCTTTTCCTTCCAACATTCTTTCTCCCTGTCCCAACCCTGGGCGCCTCTCTCCTCACTTTTGGGCTTGGAGTTCTGGTTCGAACCCAGGCCCTTGAGCATGCGCTGAGCTGCACCCCCAACCCCTTCCCCACTCTTTCAATATATGCAAAGTTTGGCCAAAAGAAGGCCTTTCATGATTCTGTCACCAGTTCTCCTTTGGCCAGCCTAGATTCCTAATTTGCACTTTAATTGGTCACTGTCAGCTCTGACAACCCTCATCCAGGGCCTTGGTTCCTCCGGTCTTGTGGAGAAATCCTGAGAAGAGGGAGGAAGGGCAGGAGGTAGATGAAGCCTAGTTTTAAGGTGGCTGATACAGGTCACCAAACTGACCTTCCCCGATTCACACAAGAACCCCAACGAGACTGTCCAGGGAGCCCGTCCCGCGTCCTTCCCTTCTTCCCACCGAGAAGGGAGGTTGTGGAGTCTCCAGAAGAGGCCCGGGCCAGCCTGCTGGGTTGGACTTAATTAGGGCTAATGATTTCTCCGTCTTGGTGGGGACAGCCAGACGCCACCGGGTCGGGGAATCCCAGTCTGGGGAGGGAGACTCGGAGTCGACATTGAAATGCAACCTCTCTTTGAAAACAGGGGAGGGGACGGCTTTTCAATGGATCCGGGACAACAGCCCCAGAGTCTTAGAAAAACAAAGGGAGGAAGACCTGGGAGCCAGCCGGCAGCGGCCCTGGGGCCTGCTGGGCCCCTGAGATGGACTCATTGAGGCGCTTCCCGCCTCGTGCCTGCAGGAATGTGAAAAGAGGGGAAAACAAACATTTGCTTATTCATTCTTTGGGCTGTCTCCTGAGGTCTCACACCACCTCCAGATCTAGTGATCTGAGGCAGGGGCTCCAGGGAATGCTTCAGACAGGAATTCCAGGCTACAAGGAGCACTTTATAAGATGAACCGGAGCAGAGGTGGAATTAGGGGGATAACGACCTTTAAAAACAGGTTTTGGAAAATTTTGAACAAGCCCCCAAAAAGGACCTCCCCCACCCCCACCCCCCACTCCCCAGCATACAGCTTCAACAATTATCATAATTTGGGACAGAGACTTTTTAAAGTTTGTGTAGGTCCCAAGCTTTCTGACTTTGGGGACCCCTTTACCCCACATCTCAAAATGCACCCACAATAACAATTTTATACAGCCAAGAGCACTGAGCCAGGGACCCTTGGGCATGTTTACATTTTATTGATATTTAATCTGTTTTAATCGGGCAAACTGCCTACCCGTCGCTTTGAGTCATCTGGGGGAAGTTGTTCTTTGTGCCCAAAGATTAGATTGGCCCTGGTTTAGATATGCAAGAATCACACCTACATCCATAAAAAACAGCACTCCCTCTGGGAACATTTCCTCAGACAGCGGGCTGGAGACCCAGCGGGGCTAGAGACCCAGGGGGGCTAGAGGAGGAGGTGCTGGAGATTTAGGCAAACTTTCCCTACTAATGAAAAAAATAAAATAAGATAAAGGGATATTCCCTGCCTGCCCCTTTAATTAACTATGCTGTCCTCTTCTTGATCACATTCTATAAAAAGCATTGATACCAGCAGCATGTGGTCCAGTGTTGGCACTGAAAACTCTCAGTCATGTATGTGTTCTGCTGTTTTTATCCTCAAGCCAAGGATATTCATCTTTATGGCTTTCAGAAGGGTACAGGCTCAGAGAGTTGAAGTCACTACTCTGAGGTCACACAACATTATTGGAGTCGGAGAGCTCAGACTTATCAGTTCTCCTGGGATCTCTGCAGTTAAAGACCCCTAGGTGCAGAATGTGGCTTCCATTGTCCGCAGACAAACCTGGCATTCATTCCTGCATCTGTGAGTTTTCATTCCCTCCTGTTACACCAAGATAATAGTAATATTTACTGGTATGACAGTGGTCACAGGTTTACACCAGGGGGTGGTGTGTGAGATCATCCTATAATCAACAACCTCTCCCCGGCTATTTTTCAACCTCTATTGCTATTTTCACAAAGGAAGGACAGAAGCAGATTGAAAGGGGCTGTAAACCAGGGGACCAGAAGGGCCAACTGCTGGCAGGTGACATTTTAACATCTCACTCCCCTGTCCCCAGGCACATAGTAGTTTCTTTCTAAATATTTACAGGAAGGGAGGGAGGAATTCATGAATGAGATCACTTGGGTTCCAAGCCCCAGGACCCCAGGAGCTACTGACCTGGATCTTGGGGGTTGGTGTAGGAATTCTTGTGACTGGGAGGCCAGCTACCTTTTGGGCATGTGCTGTTTCCTAGGAGGTGAATAGCAGGCCTTCCTGGGGCCTCCTAAGGTCTAGGCCTCATTAAAATGTGGGAGGAGTCCTGCCAGCAGGGTTTGCCCACGAAATTTGCTCCTTGGCAAAGTTTCCTCAAAGGGCACAGTAACAAAGTGATATGCATGAACACTTGCTGCAGTTTAATTCTAGAACAATTATATGTGCAGTGACAAGAGCAATATATAAAGCTATTTGGTTACATGCAATTAGATTCAAAATGAGTTTTTTTTTTTTTTTTTTTTGTGGTGCTGGGGGTTGAACCCAGGGCCTTGTGCATGTGAGGCAAGCACTCTACTAACTGAGCTGTATCCCCAGCCCTACATATGTGTAGATTTTTTTTCTTTTCTTTTTTAAGTCAGAGTCTTGCTATGTCACCCAGGTTGGTTTACAACATCTGGGTTTAAGGGACTCTCAACATAGTTGGGACTGTAGACACGTGCCACCACCCTTGGCTAACTCCTATATATTTATTTAAAATATTATAGGGCTGGGGATTTGGCTCAGTTGGTAGAGTGCTTGCCTCGCATGCACAAGGCCCTGGGTTCAATCCCCAGCACCACATGCCCATACAAAAACTGGCAAATCTTACTGTATGTTAATTGTACCTCAATAAAATTGGCACAAAAATTGTTTTAAAAAATCTCTTTAAAAAATATAATAGATACTGTACATATTTTGCTTCTTGCCAAAGCAATTTCATAATCACAATCAATGACATACTGGACCACTTTTCCTGCTCTGTATTCAGGAATTCAGTCATTGCTCAAGAGTAGCTGCCATTTTGAAATATATCTATTTTTTTTTTGTATTTTTTTGTATGACTCCTTATAATGTGTTTCCCAGGTTGCCAGATAGATTTCACATCCATTATTTTAATTGTTATTGAATGGTACACTCTCTTATATAATATTCCTGTTTTTTTGGGGTTTTTTTTGGTACTAGGGATTGAACTCAGGGGCACTGAACCACTGAGCCCCATCCCCAGCCCCATCCCCTTTCCTTTAAAAAAAATATATATTTTTTAGTTGTAGATGGACACACAATATATTTGTTTATTAATTTATTTTTTTTATGGGGTGCTATGGCTCCAACCCAGTGCCTCACACCTGAGGGGCAAGCGCTCTACCACTGAGCCACACCCGTAGCCCTTTTTACATATATTTTTAAATTTATTCTGGTGTCCTTTTTATATCTTATTTATTCTGATGTCCATGCAGACAAAGGGATGAGGACCTGGAAGCGCGAATCATCAGGTTCTCACTGAGTTGCTTAGGCCTCGCTAACTGGCTGAGGCTGGTCTTGAACTGGTGATCCTCCTGCCTCAGCCCCAGGAGCTGCTGGGATGACAGGCGTGTGCCACTGTGCCCGGCTATAATATTCTATTGAACGCACTAGCAGGCGTGAGAACTGAGTTTGTGTTATAGACGAACTTGGTTTTGCTGTTTTGTGGCGCTGTGAATGAACCCGGGCTGAGTGCCACCACCAAGCTACACTCCTAGCCCCAACAAATGAACTTGGGTGGGTGCTGGGCACATTGTAAATACTCAATGAATGTCAACCTTATTTTAATTTCATCCTTACAAGTTTATAAGGTAGGTATCATACCCGTTTTGTGGAAGAAATGAAGGCACAGAGAGGTTAGGTAACTTGTCACTGGTCACAGAGCGGATAGGGAGTGAAGCCCAATGATCTCTGAACCGGCATCCTCTATCTGGCCCTCCTCGCCTGCTCCGTAGGCAGGGCCACTAAAGGACACAGAGACTGGCCTTCCAGGTGCTAATCCCTTTGTTTGCATGGACCTCAGAACAGGATCCTTGGTTTATTTATGCAGCTCCTGACTCCAAGGTCCCCCTCATCAGGCCTCTAGGGCTTAGTGAGCTATTTAGTTTATACAAGGTCAAGGCTCTCATGCTCACCCTGCTTTTACAACCTCAGGAGATACATTAAAACTTTCAGCTTGAACCTCAGCTTCTCCATCTCACATTTGCAGATTCTATTCCAGAGGGGGCTGGGCAGGCACGGCACAGTGCAACCCACCTGACCCTGGACCAAGTTCACATCTGGGACACTCTGTGCCCCTCTCCCTCCTCTTCTTAGTGACCTACCATGACTACCCATAATCTCCCAGTAAAAATGCACTTTCCTTGCCTCAAAAATGAGAATACCATCAGGTTGCTGTTGTCCTTCTTCTTATTATTTTGGTACCAGGGATTGAACCTGGGGCACTTAACCACTGAGCCACATCCCCAGCCCTTTTTGAAAATATTTTATTTAGAGACAGGGTCTCACTGAGTTGCTTAGGGCCTCGTTAATTTGCTGAGGCTGGCTTTGAACTCTCTATCCTCCTGCCTCAGCCTCCCAAGCCACTGGGATTACATGCATGCACCACTGCATCCCGCTATTATTATTTTTGAAGACAGGGTCTCCCTATGTGTCCAGATTTGCCTCTGGACTCCAGTGATCCTGCCTCAGCCTCTCAAGTGGCTGGGGTTACAGGTGTGATCACCATGTCCAGCCCATTTGCTATTGATTAGGACCCAGTTTCTGGGAATTTTGGGGTTACACTGTGGAAGACTGAGAAGCTGGGATCGATTTTTTTTTTTTTTTGCCCGGGACAAATACAAATCATCTCTGTCCAGGAGAATAGAGAGCCTCAAAGAATACGATGTGATTGCCTTGTAGGGCATTAACCAGTCCTTATTTGTTATTTAAATTTATTGCAACGTAATGTGATTTTGTTTTGAGAGTCTTGATGTGTGGTGGCCCTGGCTGGCCTCGGACTTCTGGGCTCAAGTGATTCTTCTGTGTCAGTCTTTCAAGCAGTTGAGAGGACAGGTGGACCTGGCTCTCCATTCAGAATTTTATTTTATTGATTGATTTTTTTGGTGCTGGGGATTGAACCCAGGGGTGCTTTACCCCAGAACTACAGTCTGTAGCCCTTTTAAAGAATGTTGTTGTTTAGAGACAGGACTTCACTAAGTTTCTCAAGACCTTGATAAATTGCTGAGGCTGGCCTTCTTCCTAGACAGTGGCCTTTTTTCAGAATTGGCAATCCTCCTGCTCAGCCTCCCACGTTGCTGGCATTACAGGTGTGTACCACCGTGCCTGGCTGCAGTCAGAAATTCTGATGAGGGCTAAGTGATATTTTATATATATATATATATATATATATATATATATATATATATATATATATATATGTTATCACTGTTGTTTTGCAGAGTGTTAAGCAAGCGTTCCACCCCAGTGCTACACCCCTGCCCAACATATATTTAAAGAACAGCGTATTGCTCAAAAGGCATGTTTCTGCTTGGTTACTGTTGTTAAGAGAGTAACACGTCTAACTTGTTAGGGAACAGCACTAACTGGATTGGCTAATTACGAGTTGCAGCTGATAACATTTGTTGGATAGTTTCCGTAACATTTCTTTTCTTTTCTTTTTTTTTTTGGCACTGAGAATTGAACTCACGGTGCTTAACCACTGAGCCATATCCCAACATCTTTTTTTTTTTAATAGAAACAGGGTCTTGGGCTGGGGTTGTGGCTCAGTGGTAGAGCGCTTGCCTAGCATGTGTGAGGCATTGGGTTCGATCCTCAGTACCACGTAAAGATAAACAAATAAAATAAAGGTATTGTGTCCATCTACAACAACAACAACAACAACAAAATAATAATAATAATAATAATAATAATAGAAATACAAAGAGGGTCTTGCTAAGCCATCAGGGCCATGGTAAATTGCTGAGGCTGGCCTCAAACTTACAATCCTCCTGCCTCAGCCTCCCAAGCTGCTGGGATGACAGACATGCGCCACCGCACCCCCCACCCCCCCACCCTGTTTTCATAACATTTCTGACCCACGCAACAAAAGTTACATCCAGCTTCCTCCTAGTGGACTGGGAGAAGCTTTCTCTTTTAAGAAAAAGGGCCAGGTGGAGCTGCACACCATCAGGAAGGCAGTAATCAAGTGACCACCAGGTGGCTCCCGGCTGAGGCCAAACTGAGAGAAAGCCCCTGCCTTAGAGAAACGGCATCCTGCTGGGGTTGCAAAGACCCCCCTGGAGCCTCTCAGGGGCTCCCACCCTCATGACTGTGAATCATCTCCTGGGAAAAGGTTCCTGAACCTTCTCTCCTTGTCTCCATCTTTCCCTGACACCCACTTTCGAGGCACCGACAGGGCGGTCTGGTCTGGTATGTCCAGCCAAGGCTCCAGATAGGCGATCTTGCAGCGCCGCCAACCCTTTCAAGACAAAATCAAGATCGAATCCTGGAATCATCTACCATCTCTGACCTCAGAAGCCCGGGAGGTGGTGCTACCTGGGAACATGCCCTGATCAGCCTCCTGTCTGATAAGGAGTCAGTCACCTCTGAGGAACCTAAGCAGCCTCCCCAGGAGGCAGAGCTTGTGGGGGGCTGGTGGTTCTGCAGGGGTCCCCAGGCTGCCTGGCACACTGAAGGTGTGACAGTGACCATCCCCTTCTTCCTAGGCACTGGACGTTTTCCAGAACTCTCTGCTTTTTTTTTCTCTCTCTCTCTCTTGATGTTCCCAGCCGCTTTCCAGGGTTGCTAGGCAATGAGCCCTTTGGAATAGAAGAAGATACCAAAGTTCAGAGAGGTTAAGTGATGCCCAAGGTCGCTTAAGTGGTGGAACCAGAATGAAGACCCAGAACTTTCCACACACTGGTCGGTTCCACCTCTTGGTCCTCCATTCTCTGCGTGAGTCCCCTGCTCCACTAACTGTCCTATATTCATTTATTTTCTTTGTGCACGTGGCGGGCACTGGGGATTGAATGGAGGACTTGGAGCACACAAGGCAAGGGCTGTCCCACCGAGCAACACCTCCGGACCTGACTGTCCTATATTTAAAATCTGCTGCTACAAAGGAAAACTTTCAGGGAAGACCTGTTTGCCTGTTGCTGGTTTAGAAGTAAACAGGTCCCAGGCTGCTTGTGGGTGAAAGGGACCCAGGGGTGGCCGTGCTTTCCACGGGCCTCTTGGGCACGGGCACCCACCCAGAGATTCAGGAGAGATAGGAAAGTTGGAAGCAGGAGATCCCTGGGGGCTCCTGTGACTGACAGTTGGCTTGCAGGGAGGCTTACAAGGTCACCGCAACCCAGAAGATAGATGTCTGCATGCAAGCTGCTCTCCTCTCTGCCACCAGGGC